GTCCCGTAACCGGCTCCATGCCCCCGATGAACCAGGAAGACTGGGAATCCGAGTTCGAAAAGTACCGCGCTTCCCCCGAATTCAAGCTCCTCAACCCGCACATGGACCTGGCCGAGTTCAAAAAGATTTACTTCATGGAGTGGTCCCACCGCCTTTGGGGCCGCCTCATCGGAATGTCCTTTGTCCTGCCGACCCTCTACTTCATCGCCCGCCGCCGCGTCACCCCCAAGATGGCCGTCAACCTCTGCGGCATCTCCTGCCTCATCGCCTTCCAAGGTTTCATCGGCTGGTGGATGGTCAAATCCGGCCTCAAGGACGACCTCTTCGCCCCCGGTTCCCACCCGCGCGTCTCCCAGTACCGCCTGACCGCCCACCTCGCCACGGCTTTCGTCTGCTACTCGTGGATGCTCGTCTCCGCCCTCACCGTCTTCCGCACCCGCCGCCTGCTCGCCGACCCCGTCGCCGCCAGCAAGGCTCTCAACGCCCTCCGCAACCCGGCCATCAAGACCTTCCGCCGCCTCTCCTTCGCCCTAGTCGCCCTCGTCTTCACAACCGCCATGTCGGGCGCTTTAGTCGCCGGCCTCGACGCGGGCCTCATCTACAACGAGTTCCCCTACATGGGTCTCGGCCTGACCCCGCCCTCGGGCGAGCTCTGGGACAAGTTCTACTCCCGCAAGGAAGACGGCTCCGACCTCTGGTGGCGCAACATGCTCGAGAACCCCAGCACCGTCCAGCTCGACCACCGCATCCTCGCCATGACGACCCTCTGCTCTATCCTCTCCCTCTTCGCCTACTCCCGCACCGGCCGCGTCGCCGCCGCCCTCCCCAAAAACGTGAAAAAGGGCGTCCTAGGCACCGTCCACCTCGTCCTCATGCAGGCCGCCCTCGGCATCAGCACCCTCATCTACATCGTCCCTGTGCCCCTGGCCGCGGCCCACCAGGCCGGCGCCTTGGCCCTTCTCACTGGCGCCCTGGTCCTCGGACACCGTCTGCGTGTGCCAAAGTCCACCCTGGCTATGATCCAGAAGCGGATGAAGGCCATCAATAAGGCGAAGGCTGGCAGGCGATCCTAGGCTGTTTCCGCTTTCCCATGACTTGCGACTTCTCTCCCTACAAAGTTACAGTTTTACAATATTTGGTTTGACTGCATTTTGGCAGCGACGGCATTTTTGCATTATGGCACGTATGATACACACAAAAGCAAGTAGATATGTATAACACTGTAGCAACAAACGGACAGACACGACCAGCCCTTTGAGGTGGCCATTATGTATCTCCAGTCTATCCCGTTCAAAAACTTTTTGTTCATTTTTTTTAATAGAAGCTCAACTCTAGACTATGGAACGTCTGCCGGATATCACTGGGGGCGTACACTTCTTTTCATTTCTCCGCGTGCGTCACTTGTAGACAATCATACAGGGCGATTCGTCTTGACATCCGATCCCAACCATCTGGTGAACTCTCTATTTGTGGGCTGTCATGCAGTGTTAGTCAAAACTCCGTTGCAGTGACATGCAATCAAGACTTACCAATTCCCTCTTCGGGGACAGGCTTGACGCCAACGACCTCAGCCGCGGAGGCCTTCTTCTCATTTTGCTTCTCCTCCTTCATGAAGGGGAAAGCAAGCACCTCACGGATGCTGTAGTTGTCGGTCAAGAACATGACCATTCTGTCGATACCCATACCCCAGCCACCGGTGGGCGGCAGACCGTACTCAAGAGACATGCAGAAGTTCTCGTCAATGAGCTGGGCCTCGTCATCACCCTGGTCCTTCTGGCGGGCCTGCTCCTCGAAGCGCAGTCTCTGGTCAAAGGGGTCGTTCAACTCAGTGTAGGCGTTGACAATCTCCTTCTTGCACACAAAGGCCTCGAAGCGCTCGCACAGACCGGGAATGTCGCGGTGGTACTTGGCGAGAGGGCTCATGACTTGCGGGTGGCCGAAGATGAAGGAGGGGTTGACGCACTGCTCCTCAATGTACTCGCCGACAAGCTTGTCGATCATGCGGGCGTTGGTCAGGGGCGGTGAGCACTCGAGGTTCATCTTCTTGAGGACCTTCTGGAGGAACTCGTTGGTCTCGGCGGTGTGCAGCTGGTCGGCAGGGGGGAACGTCTCGCCCGTGGCCTTCTCGAGCTCGGGAATCATCTCGAAGCGCTTCCAGGGCTTCTCCCAGTTGACCTCGTAGACCTCACCGTGCTGGGTGTGGAACTTGGTCTTGTAGCCGCCGGTGACGTGCTTGACGAGGCCACTGACGAGCTCTTCGGTCAGGTCCATGATGTCGTAGACGTCGGCGAAGGCTTGGTAGAACTCGCAGGTGGTGAACTCGGGGTTGTGCGTGAGATCGATGCCCTCGTTTCTGAACTGACGGCCAAGCTCGTAGACGCGGTGGAGGCCACCGACGACAAGCTCCTTGAGGTAGAGCTCGGGAGCGATTCTCATGAACATTTGCATGTCGAGGTCGTTGTGGTGAGTCTTGAAGGGGGCGGCGGTGGCGCCACCAGCGATGGGACCCATCATGGGCGTCTCGACCTCGATGAAGTCTCTGTCGTCGAAGAAGCGTCTGATGTAGGTGACCATCTTGGATCTTGCGATGAGGATCTGGCGGCTCTTGTCGTTCATGATAAGATCGAGGTAACGCTTGCGGTGGCGCTCCTCGTGGTCCTTGAAGCCGTAGTACTCGTCGGGGAGTGTGTGCAGGCAGGGGGTAAGGAGAATGAACTCGGTCGCGAAGATGGAGAGCTCGCCCTCCTCGCCCTTCTCGATCTTGGACTTGGGTGCGGTACGGCCGGGATATCCAATGATACCAACAATGTCACCTATGCGCGGTCAGTATTTCATATTTCCCACCCAGCCAGGAAACTCAATGCTTGCCTCGGCGAAGGTGGACGTGCTGGTCCTCGAATGACGGGCTTCCCTCTGCGACCTCTTGCGCCTGGGCCATGACCTGGACCTTGACGCCCTCGGCGCGGATATCGTAGAAGAAGAGCTTGTTGCCGGAAGCACGCTTGTTGTAGATACGAGCGCCCACGCGGACGACCTTCTCCTTGTCGTGCTCGCCAGACTTGAGGTGACCAAAGTCCTTGACAAAGTTGCGCAAGTCGTAGTCGGCTGCGGACCGGTATCAGCATAAAGGTCCAGGGTTGATGGTGTTTGCAGATCTCACTGTGGAACTTGTGGGGGTAAGGGTTGGGAGACTTGGTCTCGCGCAGCCTGATACCATATTGTCAGCCCATGCAACCACTTTTTTTCTCAAAGATTCTCCTTCGTAGTACGCACTTGTTGATGGCGCGAGATCGGTTCTCGAAGTACTGGCTGGGGTCCAGGTTCTTCTCATCGGCCTCGGCGTTGCCCTTCTTGGCAGCAGCAGGCTTAGGAGGGGCAGCGGCGGCCTTCGCAGCCTTAGCAGCCTCTCTCTCGCGGGCCTTCTGGCGCTTCTTCAGCTCCGTCTTGGAGATCATCTCGCCGGTGACCTCATCCTTGAGAAGCTTCGCAGTCTCCTCGACCTTGAGGTCCTTGACCTGCTCGGTGGGGGGTTCGGGAGCACTTGAGTCGGCCATGATTGCGGTTTGCTGCATACACAATAAGTTGTCAGAGAAAGGAATCCGGGGGAGGGTGTGCGGGGAATTCCCGTCGTTAAATCAGGGAACGAAGGTTGACTCACCAAATTTGTCCTGCGTCTCGCGATCGAAGTTTTACCAGTCAAAATTAATTAATGCCGGGACGAGGGGCAGCAGTGCATTGGCTACGGCGGGGTAGTGCCATTGACTCATTTGCCCTGACTCACCGCCTTTGATGGAGGGGCAGAGCGACCTGCGGCGGGGGAGGGGTGCTTTCCGTGACCGGGCGGGCTGTGCCATGATCAACTCGGCACTGTATTTTCGCACTGCTACCCCTGAGCCCCTGAATGAAGTTCACGATGCTGCAAAAGCGGTCTCATTTGAGGTCCAGGTTACAGAAAGCTTTCAGAGTATGCTTTCTATGTTTCTAAAAAAACTTCTGAGGACTCTTGGGTAGATATGTACCTTCCTGATGAATACCTTATTTCCAACGATGCTCTGGCATACGGCTTGACCTAGCCAGCTGAATTCACGACCGCTTGATCAATGGTTCTGCAGGATATCACAGCGTGATATGAGAGTATAAGTTACCCTGACTGATGATTTGGACGATGGTTTTGAGCATCTCTCGCATGCGATACGATGACCACTGTACGCCAGAGTCATTTCAATGAGCAGATCCTGGCTTAAGTTACATGAGAACGAGTCTAAGGCGGGAACCTCTTAACCTGAGGTCTTCGATACTTTGAAGTTGAGATCAAATGATACAGAATTGCTATTCATACCATGTTTTGGGAGCAGTCCTTGCTTAGGGTCTAAAAGATGCAAGAGATTTCTGGCATCTGGACATGAGTTGAGTCTAGGATCTACCTTCATATGGTTTTCACGACCAGGATATGTCTATGAATAGTAATTTTACATTGCAATTTGACCCATAGAAGGATGAAGCTGAAGTCTCATCATGAGATAGACCGGAAACCAGGAAAGGTAATCAGGCAACGAACGCATGGTATTCAACAACATACTTTGCCGGCCGACTTCTACAAATCGTCCCCCGATGAAAGAACCAAATATTGTATGCCATTCTCTCATAACAATCCTTAAAGAGAACCTACCTCCGAAAACACCAAATCTTGTTTTTCAATGGTATCGTATATGTCCACGGTGAAAGAATGTGCTGCGAGGCACCCGTCTAACCCCTTCCATCACGATGCCAGTCATAGAGCCTGCCCGCATCATGTAACACCTTACTACTTCCTAGTACTTACGATTAGGAAAGTCCCAAAATTCCAGCTCAGGTCTCTAGTTTCCTCTTTTTTGCTAGCTGTTCACCTTTGGCAGTTACCTCCAACATCAGTATAGCCCATGGGTATGTTCACCACCCCATCTAAGCCCAACCAATCACCCTATTTACAAAATCGAGCAGGGCAATCGCAACAATCGGCAATGTCGTCCGCATCATTCCCAGTCAAGAAGGCGGTCACCCAAGAGATGGCGGATGGCAGTGGTCCATCCAAAGCCTCGGAGCGGGAATTGCGCGTGGTTGCCAGGAAGGCTGTCAATCGAGCCACCAAGACCGCGTAAGTTACTTTTCGAAACGAAAATTCTCCAAATATCCCAGGCTAATATCAAGATATAGTACTGTTCTTTTCCAGAGACTCGACGTCTTCATACTTCTTCTCGGCAAGCTCAAGGTCGTCCAGCGCCCCTTGAGCGTCAAAAACACCCCAGAGATCTGGAGAGCCCATTGGGAAGAGCTTAGAGATGCCGTCATAGAGATCTACGATCTAGCTGACAGGATGCTCGAGCTGGCCTTACAAGCCGAGGAGCACGTCTCTACGGCAACGCATGAGGCACTCATGATGCATACCAATGTCTTTCGCCGGGGCATAAGCGACCTTGTTCCTCAACAGCTGCACGATGATTTAGTCGGCAAGGGCAAAGATGTGGCCAAGTCCGACTAGGCATTTCATGACGAGAAAGTCAGGCACAACCGAAGGAGCTGGGGTACAATCACTCCAAGCAAGACGGACACGGGAATTGGATGGTAGAAGGGACATCGTCAGTCACCGAGGTGACCCAGGAAGTGTGCAATAGATTCATTGGCTAGATAAATCAAAGTCTCACGAATCATATTCATACTTTTGCATAAGCTCCTTCAACCGATCCAAAGGCAGCTCCTCAACCGTGTGTCCCAAGAAACCCTTCAGGGTCTCGGCCGAACACAAGGCGTTGTAAATGCTCTCCTCCGTCGCATCCGCCGCGGCTTCCAAAAGCCCGTTGATGCTCGTGTCGTCAATCGACTCAACCTTGAGCGCCTTAGCCTTGAACGGATCCACCTCTGCCCCCTCCGTCGTCATCGTCTGCACAGGAATGTGATTGCCCGTAGAGAAGGCGAGGAAAATATCGCCCGAAGGATTGTGTCCGTAGCCGCCGACCCTCGCCAGCCCAACGGTAGCCCTCTTGGCGAGTCTCTGGCACTGGATGGGCGTCAGGGGCGCGTCGGTGGCAATGGTGACGATGATGGAGCCGTCCTTCTTGTCCTTGTGCGCCATGATCTCGGCCAGCGTGTCCTTCTTCTCCTTTGCGAGGGTGCGGCCGACAGGGAAGCCGCCGATGCGCAGGTGGGCTGCCCTGCCGTAGTTGGCTTGCACGAGCGCGGCGACGGTGTAGCTCTTTGCGTTGCCCTCGCTGTCGATCCCCGGGACGACGCGGGACGAGGATCCGGTGCCGCCTTTGAACCAGTGGCAGATCATGCCCGTGCCGCCGCCCGTGTTGCCCTCTGGCACCGGGTCGTCCGTGACCGTGTCAATTCCCTTGACGACGTGTGCGGATGTGACGGCCAACTTGGAGATATCGTTGAGGAACCCGTCAAAGGTCTCACCGACGACGGGGAGCAAGAACCACTCGATCTCTCCCTTGTCGTTGGAGTAGTGCTTGATGGCGTACTCGTAGATGCCGCGGTATGCGTCGCCCACCGAGAAGGAGTTGGTCAGCACGATGGGGCTGGCGAGGAGGCCGGTCTCCTCAATCCAGTGGGATCCCGTCAGCTCTCCGGAGCCGTTGAAGCGGAAGATGCCGGCATAGCAGGCTTCCTTGAACCATTCACGGCGGGGGAGGATGACTGTTACGCCGGTGTTGACGCCCTCCTCCGTGCGGATGCTCTGTGTTGAGGCGAGGACGCCGGAAACATCGGTGATGGAGTTCTTGGGTCCCGCCGGCCATCTTCCGAGGTCGAGTTTGGGGAGGACATCGCGGATGCGGCCGCGGGGAGTTGATTGTGTGGCCATGTTGATGAAGTTGGCTGAGTTGCTTTAGACTGGAGTTTTGAAATGGGAAGTCGGACAACTCTGTTCTTCAGTATTTGCTTGAAGAGTTGCTACCGCAGCCTTTGTACATCTTCGCAAATGCATCACGGTCAGCAAACGTAAGTGTCGTGTCGCAATGTTGTAAACGTTTGAGTTCTTTTTTTCTCTCTCTACCCCGATGAAGGATCAAATGGCACCCACCAATTGACTCAGGCCGCATCAGCATGAGAGGATATCATCGTGGACACATTGACCAATTGCATCGTCGAACGAAGTCCGAACCAGAGCTTTTGCGAATGCCTGGAGATCGCGCGTGGTTTCACTTCCTTCGGCCAGCTTCTTTGGGCAGGTGGATTTGGCAGAAGTGGTGCCGCTACCTTACGGTGGACGTACTCCGCTTACGTTGCGTTGTCAGCGCGGGCTAACTAACCGCGTGCACTCACTTTTCTGACGTTCGATGCTGACGGTATTTAAAACCCTCAACGTGCCCTTGAAAAGGTACCTAGAACCAGGCTTCTATTAAGATAACTCCTGTTTGAGACGGACTCAAAGTAAGGTAGATAATTAATACGGACGGGGGAGGGAGATAATCAGGTACATGTACCTCGGCAAACGGGCCCCACACAGATCGCTCGGCCGGCAAGTGGGGTCCGAATGCGGGGAAGCTGCTTCAACCCCCGGAGTGACCATCATTACCAGCTCCCTACCAAGTCTGAGAGGCCCTGTGCGGAGGAGGCGCGGGACATCGTTCCCGACATCGCTTTATCCCGTCTCACCTAGCATTGCAGCTTCATCACAAACCTTCTCTCCCGTTCTCTCACACCTTACGTATAGTGAAGCGTCCTATCAGCCGTCATCTTATAGAACATCCGGGGCATACCAATCAATTCATTGACCGCTAATATATCCTCTCAAAATTGACCATGACGCCTTCACTCCGGGTCATCCCTAACGTAAGAACTCCCCCTCTCCCTCCCAAGATAGATCCCTCACTCACAAGGCCAACAGGCGGCGTCTCGTGCCGTATCCCTTCTGAGGACAATCCAGGCACATCCTCCCTCATGCCCATGCCACACCAACCCCGGCCATCACCACCACCACAACCCTTTGCACTTTACGCCGAGGCCCCTCCGGACGAGCAGCAACCGCGGCTATGCCACCCCCGTAGACAGCCCGCAGAAGGAGTACGCCTTTGAGATGGCCGCCTCCTCCATCCGCTTCGGCCCCGGCTCCACGCAGGAAGTCGGCATGGACTTTGCCAACATGGGCGCCAAGCGCGTGGCCGTCGTCACGGACCCCGTCGTCGACGGCCTCTTCGCCATGCAGCAGGTCCGCGAGGCCCTCGACCGCGAGGGCATCAACTACAAGGTCTACAACCAGACCCGCGTGGAGCCCAAGGACAGCAGCATCCGCGAGGCCATTGACTGGGCCCGTCCCTTCTCGCCCGACGCCTTCCTCGCCGTCGGCGGCGGCTCCGTCATCGACACAGCCAAGCTGATGAACCTGTACTCGTGCTACCCCGAGGCTCCCTTCCTCGACTTCGTCAACGCGCCCCTCGGCAACGGCCGGCCCGTGGACAAGGCCTTGAAGCCGCTGATTGCCGTGCCCACCACCGCGGGAACCGGCTCCGAGACCACGGGCACCGCCATCTTCGACCTGGTTTCCAAGCGCGCCAAGACGGGCGTCGCTCACCGCAACCTGAAGCCCACTCTCGGGATCTGTGACCCGCTCAACACCCGCACGATGCCCTCGGCCGTGAAAGCCGCCTCGGGACTTGACGTGCTGTGTCACTCCCTCGAATCGTGGACGGCGATCCCCTACCACGAGCGTGTGCCTCGGCCCAAGAACCCCATCTTGAGACCCGCGTACCAGGGCGCCAACCCCATCAGCGACGTCTTCTCAATGCATGCGCTGAGGGCCACGGTGAAGTACCTACCCCGCGCCGTCAAGAACCCCGACGACTTTGAGGCGCAAAGCGAGATGCTGCTCGCCGCGACGCTCGCCGGTGTCGGTTTCGGTAACGCCGGTGTCCATCTCTGCCACGGTATGTTTCTCCAAGCACATTCCTCGGGAGCGAAGTTTCCCCCTCTCTAACATGAGAACACACAGGCATGTCGTACCCCATCTCGGGCCAGAACCCGGGCTACCAGCACGCAGGATACAAGGTCTCCTACCCCATCATTCCGCACGGCGTTTCCGTGGCCGTCACAGCGCCCGCCGTCTTCCGCTTCACGGGTGCCTCCAACCCGGAGCGTCATCTCCAGGCGGCCGAGGCCTTTGGCGTCGACGTCTCGCGCGTGCGCAAGGAGGACGCTGGAAAGGTTCTTGCCGACGCGCTGACCAAGTTCTTGGCGGATCTGGGTGACCAGCCTGCCGGTATCAAGGAGCTTGGTTTCGGCACAGAGCACCTGGACGACCTTGTCGAGGGAACGATTCCGCAGGCTAGAGTGTTGATGCTGGCGCCTGGTCTGGAGACGGAGTTGCAGAAGGAGAGAGAGCAGTTGAGGGGTTTGTTTGAGGCGTCTTTGGTGCACTCATGAAGTCTGGGACTGGTGAACCGTAGTGTACAGTGATTGGGGCCAGGATGTAATCATGGACAGAAAAGAGATTGAATAATCCAGGCAGTGAGCAATCACCTTTTGCATTGTTTTATCGTTTCGTGAATCGACGTTTTGGCATCAGTCCCTCATCTGTCTTACGTTGAGGTTGATCCTCTTGTTTTGCATCCAACCCTTCCACTCTTCGTACTTTCCATCTTCTGCCGGCCAGTCAGCCAAGTAATCAGGACAAGTACCCTTCATAACCTTTGGCACGCCGTGCCACGCGAAACGCGAGTCCTTGGTCATGTAAATGGCGTCGCCGGAGCGAATACGCAGGAGGAGGTACTCCATCCCCGTAGCCGTCGCCTCTTCCGAAATCTTATCCGATCCGTTTGGCGCGATCATGAAGAGGCCGTCGCACCCGAAGCTCAGGCTGACGAGCCCCTTGTCTGTCTCCTCGCTGACGTCGCGGTGCATCATCATCGTGTCGCCCGGGGTGTAGAAGTTGACGATGGCGGCCTGGGCCAGGGTCTCAGGGAAGATTGTCTCGAGAAACTTGGCAATGTCTGGCGGGAACTGGGGCGGGCAGTCCTCTGGGTAGATGCGGTTCGTCCAGTCGTACTGTCCGCCCAGCGTGACCCAGTGAAGACGGCGCTCCATGACTTGCTTGATCGATAGGGGCTTGTGGACGGAGGGGTCCTTGGGGGTGAATATGGGCGTTGGCTCGGGCGGGTAGGAGAAGAAGGATTCGGCGGATCCGTCTTGGGCCTCTGGATAGGGGAGGTCATAGTGGAGGTGAAGATTGGTTTGATGTGTTGGGACGCTGAGATCTCGGTTGATCATCAATGAGAGCAGTGTCTTTTGCACTTCCGGAGGGACTAAGTCCGGTACAATGAGGAGGCCTTGAGTGACTTAGTTAGTTGTTTTGCCACATCTAAAAGTGAATTATTACGGGCAATTACCTGGCAGAAGTGGGTGGTATAAGATGGGAACTTCTTTGAGTGACGATGTGTCGACAGCATTCGGGCCCAGGTGCGAGAAGGCAGCGGCCAGCTGATCAACGGAAATTTTGCCAGCCTGTGAGAATTTTCCAGCTTGTTCTGGCGATCTTGGATCATCAAGAGAGTCTCCGTTTATGACTTCTTTTTGGTCTGCTCTGGAGTATCCCTTCCACCGTGCCCGCATCGCATCCGAAGGCTGCTCATGAGCGTCTAGCTCGACAATTTCAGCCGTCATGGTGGTGGGAGTGAGTGGGTATCGAAGGTACGTGAGGAATTTTTATGAGTAGTATAAAAGGGATCGAATTTTATTGAGTTTGGACCTCCATCAGTAAGAGATAAAGACAAGGCAGGTTTTCTTCATGATTTTATCTCTCGTCGCATCGTATGAGAATAATTGGTGACTCTGCGGTACAAAATCAGGAGTGAGCCCGTCCGTGACCCCACCATCAGCAGTGACCTTATCGCTATCAGATAAAGGATAAGCTCGTTATCGAGGGGGGGTTTCACGCGGGCAGCCCACCAATTACCAGGGGAGCCCAGGCCACCTACCACCTTCCGCAGACGCGACCCTGCCTTCCAGCGGCCTTGGTTGGGTGAGATCAGATCGCGCCTTGTTTTTCTTCATTGCCAGTAAACAACGACAACGGATTGCAATTTTAGCACCACAAAACATCGCCCAATCCGCCAAACGAAAAACGCCCATCCCGCCTGGGCCTTTTGCGACCGACATCGACGACAAACCCTCCATGGAGATTATCCCCTTGTAACGGCCCTTCGATCCTCGACTTTGCTGCGTTTCCCCCCCTCGTCCTTTTTTCTTGTGGTGCATCTTGTTGCCCCCCTGACGACGACTACGTTCCTCCCTTTGGACTCTTTCCCGTCACTCTATGCCCCAGAGAGACTCTCAGCTGTGCCCCTCCACACTCTGAGGTGACCGACCACACAACGAGCCTGAGCCCACCCGAACAACAAAGGCCGCCCCGATCGTGACGACTTCCTTCAACACTCTTTGGACCACCCTACGATCGGACTCAATTAATTTACCTGCCCTATTCCCTGCGAATTGATCTCCCGGATAATTACGCCGCACTGCAACCATGGAGAACTACCAGAAGCTCGAGAAGATTGGTGAAGGTAAGCAAGCCGCAGACAACTCCATCCCGGGCAGTCGACCCAGAATGGCATGACGCAACACCAGTCGGCTGTCACCTGTCACCAATAAATACTGACTTGACTCCTTCCTTCCTAGGTACCTACGGTGTCGTCTACAAGGCCCGAGACCTTCTCAATGGCGGTCGCATTGTGGCGCTGAAGAAGATTCGCTTGGAGGCCGAGGACGAGGGCGTTCCCTCCACCGCCATCCGCGAGATCTCCCTCCTCAAGGAGATGCGCGACCCCACCATCGTGCGCCTCTTCAACATTGTCCACGCCGATGGCCACAAGCTCTACCTCGTCTTCGAGTTCCTCGATCTCGACCTCAAGAAGTACATGGAGTCTCTCCCCGTCAACGATGGCGGTCGCGGCAAGGCCCTTCCCGAGGGCAGCTCCGAGTACCTTGGCCGTCTCGGCTTGGGCCAGAACGTCATTCAGAAATTCATGTGGCAGCTTTGCGACGGCGTTCGCTACTGCCACTCTCACCGCATCCTCCATCGCGATCTCAAGCCCCAGAACCTGTTGATCGATAGAGACGGCAACCTGAAGCTGGCGGATTTCGGTCTCGCGCGCGCCTTCGGTGTTCCCCTGCGCACTTACACCCACGAGGTCGTCACCCTGTGGTACCGTGCCCCGGAGATTCTTCTCGGTGGACGCCAGTACTCCACCGGCGTGGACATGTGGTCCGTTGGCTGTATCTTTGCCGAGATGTGCACCCGCAAGCCTCTCTTCCCCGGTGACTCCGAGATTGACGAGATCTTCAAGATCTTCCGGTACGTGTTCCTGTCAAGCAGCCCCTGTTTCACCCTGTACAAGTCGCTAAACTCATCCACAGCTCGCTCGGCACGCCGACCGAGGATGTCTGGCCCGGTGTCACGTCGTACCCCGACTTCAAGAGCTCCTTCCCTAAGTGGATCCGCGACGAGTCTCTGCCGCTTTGCACGAACCTTGATGCGGATGGTCTTGAGCTTCTCGAGATGATGCTGGTGTATGACCCCGCTAGCCGCATCTCGGCCAAGGCCGCCTGCAACCACCCGTACTTTGAGTCCTACCCCGACCAGCACTCTGGCCAGACCATCAGAAGCGGCGGCCGCATCAACGGACACTACGGCAACTAGGAGTTCCCCGTAGTCCAGCGCGCGGTTCCGATGCAGCATCAGCGCTTCGGCCGCTTCTAATCATATCACTTTCGGTCCTTGCATTATACCTTCATTACACAGGGAGAGGGAAAGGGGTTTTCTCGGGGGCCGACCTGGGGCAAACAGCAGACTCTATGATCAGTATCCTATCGGGTTTTCAGGATACTGCGAGAATATGCTTGTCTCCCTTTTGGTCATTGGAGGTTCACCTACACAAAAGCAGACTTTACCATTCTATCCGCTGAAGGGGGCGGGACCATGGCCAACTATGCATCAGGCCATGTTGGTAAGAGGTAACCGGGGAATCGTGGGTAACCGGTTCGGCACTTGGCAGCTTGACACGTCTGCGGATGTAAGGATGCGCACACAGTCACACATGATGGGTTGTCAGGGCATTCAGATGTTGCGACAGGAAGAGATGATGTGTGCGTCTTGACACTCTGCGTTTTGGCTCAGCGGCACATTGCACATTGTGGGACGACAAATCATCGACGTAACCATCAATCAGTCGTCCAGTCCATGTGCCACCAGACAACTGGGGGGAGGCAGCCTTTCCCCCAGACATAACGAGAGAAAGAAGAAGCAGAACAAAAACATCATCCAACACACACACACACACAAAGGAGGAAACTTGACTTCTTTAATTTCTTTTGTCGTAAACTTTAATGTACGGAGTAAGATGATGCATACGGTCGGTTTCGGTAGGGCAGGTTAATGGAACAAAAAGACTCGTTTGGCATTCTGCCTTTTCCCGCTGAAAATCATGTCACAAACGAGAAACATGGCGTGTTCGGTGCCCGGTTCCAGGTATATCTGGGGGATCGTCGGATCTTTGAAGAAATGGATGCTTCCAGACTTGGTTTTATAAGCCTCGCTGGCGTAGGGACTATCTCGATCCTTTCCCATCGTCTCTTCTCCGTCCTGTAGAGTTGGAAACGGCGGTAACCCTAGCTGTATACGCTCCAGGTCCAGAGCTCGAGGTGTTGAGACGAACCCTTCGTGCATGGAGCCTAGACCCTCTCCCGTCTGGTGTCAGAGGCTTGGGTTGTAGAGGATCAGTTCATCCGACCATGTAAGGTTTCGACTAGCCGTGTCCTTTTTCAAGGGAGAGACGTAGACATTATTCCCGCTAGCTTTAACCTGCTTACACGCCTATCTCGCGGCGTTCGACAACAGACAGAAATTTAACGGCTTGCTGGCGAGACGCATACTTGATTCCCGCCCCTTTGTCGCATCGAACGATTCTTGGGGAGGGTTTCTGCGTATGTAGGGCAGAGGTAGAGGAGTGTTCGAGACTGTGTTCTGTGACACGGGGAGCATGGCGTGGGGGGGGGGGGGGGGGGGGGGTTGGGGTTCAGCTGGAGGAGTTATTGGAAACGGCGTTTGATGGTTTCCTCCCTTGCGAATGCAGACATTGCAATGGCGAGGGCTTCATGGGTGGACTTGTCTTGTGTGTTTGTCTGAGGTTTTGGGAGATGGATGCCCTGCCAGCGCTTCCTCACTAGACCCCCCCTTCCTTCCTACCGTTTGGATAAGGAAAAGGGTGCGAAGAAATTCTGTATCGTTCAAGTCCAATATCTGAGGTACACGTACGTAGCGTGAAATGTGGAAGGACCATTCGAGACGATACACTCGATCATCTCGAACATGATTTCACGACAGTCGTATGGAGTAACTTATCGTGGCTTAACATTAAGGTAGCCATCAAGCATATCACCCTCTACCCTAGAGGAGGAGGAAGATTGATACAAAACACTCTGCTCATACTTCCGCATACCGTCTTCTTTGTTGACCCCGTCTGCGGAGACAGTCCGCACAACCCAGGCATCCCAACCCAGGCATCCCTCAGTGAAGTCATCGTGGGCAAAATTCGACCACATCCGGCAAAAACAAGAAGGTTTGGATATCTTCTATTTTCAGCCCCAAGATAGCCTTTCGTCAGCTCATCCTCTATCTCTCTATTCCAAACGAAACCATTCGAGTTTTCCCGCCCGGCACTTGAAGAAAGGGTTTAAACCTCTCTCATACAAGTCTCACGATGTGCCTGGCCCGAAACACGTGGTAAAATGGAAATCGTATCATTACCTATTCCCCAAGTAGTAAATGGCCCTTGTGCTTTCGGAAAGACATGAGCCGACTGGCACGGTAATACGTTCGCGTGAGGAATTAGGAGGGGGGTGAGGGGGGGTGCGTGGGAACGGCGTCATGGAGCCCTTTTTCGAGGTCATTTCTAGATACCTCTTCTTTTTTGCCTTTAGGTTCCGTAGTTGACGTAGAGAAGAAAAGGCGAGAGGTGTGCAAAGATGAAAAGCTCCTCGGAGAATGAACCATATGCGGCGATATTTTTGAGTATATCGTGGGGCGCAAGAAAACTGTTGAGAACGTGGAAAAAGGAAAATGGCATCGGGGAACCTAGGACAATCAACGGTGGCTTATAATTCCCACTTCGCCGACCTGACCTTACCTACCCCCTACTGAATGTCCTTGTTCTTTATTTCTAGAATGAGGAAAAAAGGGAAAGAGAAGGGGCAGACAGCTATAGACTAGGTATTCGTGTTCCTGACCTGGGAGGTGGCTATCCCGCGCGGCAGTCGTCGGAGTGGTTGCCTTTCCCGGCGAAATCCTCAAGCTGGGTGTCCGCGGAGTTTTGCTCTCTCTTATTATTTCTCTACTCTGTGAGAGGGGATGAGGGGGGGCGTGGTTGTTCGTCAATGAGGAGGACGTGACCGAATGAGGCTAGATGACATCCAACGTAGAAGCGCTAGAAGGATCTTTCGCGCAAAGGAAGGAAAACACCCAAGACACCTAAGACATTTGAGTAAAGGAAAGAGAGGGGAGAGAGGGGCAAAACACAATCGAATAACAGAATAGCAGAAGATACTGGACAGGAGCATGAAGAACGGCGTAGGTATATCCTATGCCATGATTTTAAGACATCACCCAATATTGACTTTCCACCCCCCGTTGCCTCCCCATCGCGCAATCGAAGCACTTTCTCTGGCGTGGGGAGGACTACATCGAAAGATTTGGATAACCCGAGCGGCGCGGGAGGTGTGCCACCCGTTCTCTCTCATCACGCCCTCTCTCCTAGTGCTAGAGCCTCCACACGCTTCCGTGTGTCGTTCGCCTTCTACATGATTTCGACCTTTCTAGATGGACTCGCCCTACGAAACGGCTTCCCCTTCTGAGAGAAATCAGCAAGGGTGGGGGGGAGAAAAGGGATCTACATCGGATGCCGAGTAATTGTGTGTGTATGTCCAGCCTTTTTACAAATTATGATGGCGGGGGACTGAGGCAAACGTTAGACGAATGATGAAACGCCCATAGACGATCGACGAGCTATCAATTCACACACGTAAGTCCTTCAACCGGAAGGACGATCGTCCTGTTTTCCCGCCCGCCTCCTTGAGCACTAACAAAAATCCACTACCCTAACTCTAGAAAATGCTCAATGCTTCAAGGCATTGGTAGAGTAAGCTAGAATGTCACAATATCCACCCGTTCCTGTCCTTAGCCCCAACGAAACGGTTACCTGACCCGGAATCCTCTCCGCCATACCAAGACCCCCCCAAGGACCTAATAACAATTAGGAAAGAGACCAATCCGCTATTTGCAATTCCCACCACTGAGTCTCTCCAGACCAATGATAGTCCAATAGATAAGATTCTCCCGAATAGGAAAAAAGAATGACAAGAAAACATGGGCACTACTTACTTTTGGCAAAGCATGGCCGATGAGTGATCATCTCCATCTTGGCATGAAGGGTAAGAAAGATATTCCCTAAACCGGCGGAAACGAAAGCCTCGTGGTTTCTTCACCTGCTTTACCGTTGCCTTACTCATGTCAGTAACCTACAAGGCACAAGGCACAAGGCACAAGGCACAAGGCACAAGGTCGACAAGAAGGCGCACAGAGGAGGAGAAGATCGTCCTCTCTGACCCCCCGCCCCCCATCGGCATCGGCGCCGGCACCTTGCCGTCCGTCCCCTCCTTTCCCTGCCCTACCTCCCCTCCCCGCCTATCCGTACCCCGCCGAGCCCCCATTGCCCCCCCCCCGGCGGCGGGACGAACCTCCCCGGACGGGACGAGCGGGATCCGATCACGCGCACAATTCCCCAAATCGATGAATGATACATCTCTTACTCAATGAGTAATTAAACAGCCATCATATCCTGGATCGCCTAATCGCCGATGTTCAAGCGTGGAGAAGATGAACATATTCCAAAAGCAAGTATACACAACAAGCAAACTACCCTTTAGAAAACCGGAACACTGAACAAAAATGCTTCCGTCGTACCGATAGGGGCATGTACAAAACACAAATCGGACCAGAGTGTTCCACATACACTGCTTACCTTACCACGTTCCGAAGCTATCGTCAAAAGCAGAGAAGCAACGGCAAGAAGCTCCTCACTGAAAAAGGAGACGCGTAAGGCGGGAAGGTCAAGTGTGAGACGGGAAACAAGCACTACGCCAATAATGTCAACGACGACGACGACAACACTTTTAGCACACATGTTCAAGAGGTCAGGGACGGGGGCTAGGCACAACCAGAAACGAAAAAACCATCACTAAGAAGAAATGTCTCAAATATCGTGACCATCCCCATCCCCCATCCCTCATCGCCGCGCCGCTCCGGGGTTACATCTTTCCGTGTATCTGGGGTTTAACTCATGTACTCGTGTGTGCCAACAACGCCCATGTATGCCCAATGTAAACCTGCAAGAGTAAGCATGTGTGATACCTAGCTTGTCCAAGGTATGTACCGCAGGCAGCCTTTCTCCCTTTCCAAATGGAGAAGCTCCCACAAACGATATCTTCTCGAAACGACGAATCCCTACGGACCGAGAGACGCTTCGCGCGGGATAGATAAAAGCGCCGAACAAACGCCTCGAAATCGTAAGTAGTCTAGCCTCCTTGGTAAGAACCACACACACACACACACATAAAAATCAGGAACCGCGGTAAAACGGGTGAAAAAGATCCATGTCCGTGTTTACCTCTGCTCTTCTACCGCCATCATGTAAATCAACAGCTCCATGCCATTTCCGGCGATTATCCTCTCGCAAATGTGCAAAAGTTTAAAAACCCACCAGGGGGTGGGGGGAGGACTGGGGGTCTATCTCTTACCGGTCTGGTGTCGAACAACAAGAAAATAAAACAAAACAAATGACGGGTAAATCGGTTAAGGCGGTTGATCACTTTGGACAGTCAGCAAAGTAAGCTCCCATCCGTCACGGGAACTTTTGTAGATGATGAGTCGGCAGTAGAGAAAGTCTCGAAGGGGGGACATACCGCGGTAAAGGCCCCAGAGTTAATACGTGAAGTCCGCAAGAAGAAAGGACTGCGGTAGTCAGTCCAATTCATCTACGTAAGCCCTGGTGACGACGCTGGAGAGGAGTAAGGAACAGAAAGAGACTGCAGTCAGTAAGTAAGTCATTGAGTGATTGCCACATCACACACATCGTCACACGTCATCCGCGATGAGGGGCCGGCGACGAAACATCACCAACTTCACACCAAACCAGACCTGGCCAGATACTTACCCACCGAACGACCAAAACGAAACGAAACCAACATTTCCAGCTTTATCTCGATTCCCGGGCTTGCGGTTCAGCTGCTCCTTGCTGCTTAAACTCATACCTAACCCCCGGATTTCGTACCCGGAAATCTTTATTGAAAGTGGTAAGACAGGCCCGGCGACTGTTTCTTACGTGCGAAACTACGATGATCCCAAGAAACAGGTTAAAACGGGGGAAATTTCGGGTGACTGGTTTTTGGGGGTGGCAAAAACCCGGGAATCTGGGAAAGTGTTCCAGCACAGCCCCGATGGGTGAGACCTCCGTAGACGTTTTCGTGAAAAGTCTAGCTGAAGAGAGTTTCTCGAAGCTCCAGTGACCATACCTAGATGGGACAAGATGAGAGACACTCTATTACCTATCCCCCCGATGAGTTTGAGGTTCCACGAAAAGATCGCCACGACAGAGCGAGAGGCTCCTCGACGGGCGTCTGCTCTTGCACCTGTGCCTGGCGTTCTGCTTGCCCGGGCAGAAAAAACTTGGGTTCAAAAGGGCAATAGATGAACAGAACCGACGTATCAATGCCTGACCAGAAGTTGTGTGGCAGATTCTTGGGCGTATCTTTACGAAATCGCGTGGAGTGTGTGTGTGTGTGCGGATGGGGCCGTTTCTGGCCCTGGGGCCCTCGATTGTTTCCCGCGCCGGACTCGAGGGGAAAAGAAAAGGCTGCGAGCGTACGTGTGCCTGAGAAAAGTGACGGTGCGGCCAGTAGAAAGACGCTAGAAGGCGACGAAGAAGTTTTCCGCACGTCACCGGCGATGCCGCAAACGGGAGACTTTCGACCGGGGACCTGGGAACGAGAGAAGAATACGCGGTGCGCGCGGGGCGAGTTCAAGGCGCCGCGGGGCTTGAGGCTACTCAATTTTCCCACATGGAGGGCGTGCAAAATCCAACGAGAAGCAGAAACGCAAACAGACAGATACCGGTCCCAGGGACGTGGTGCGTGTCTCGGGGACCTGAAGCTTGCGGGAGCACGATGGTGGGCACTACACCTTGAGCGGACAGAGACCTGATAGAAACCGGCGGGAAGTGTGCCTCTAGCATCCTGCGACGGGGAGGATCGAGGCACTTTGTGGAGGCTGTGCCCGTTAGGTTTCTGGTTGTCGATGAAGCAGGAGGCTGCCATGTGCGCTGGCTGAACATGTCTCGCCGGATGCGGGTTGAAGTTCGTTGGTGAATAGTGGGATGGGACAGAAAGCTCTTTTGTTGCCCAGTGGGGATCCTTGCGATAGTGGACCCTGACGACGATGATGTTTGCTGCTTCTGCTGAAGGCCATTCCCTCGACGGTGAAAACAAGGGCTGGATCATGTCTCGGTCCGCGCAAACAGCTGTGAACGCCTTCATCCAGTCTGTCGGGTTCATGAAGTAAATGACAAAGAGGACTCTGAGAGGCGTTGGTGGGCAAAACTCCAAGTCCCAAAACGGGGATGTAATAGAGTTGAATCAAGGTGTGCTGCTTTCGGGGAATTGTTGTCGTCCTTGCTTGCTTAGCTAGCGGATCACTTTTGCAGTAGGATTCTGGAGTCGGTAGGGTGACTGCGGCAGCGGGGCCAATGACCATGCTAGTGGATGCATGAGAATGGCAGCGGCTGCGCAGATTGCCGTGGCTATTTCCATCGGCCAAAGTCTGTGCGGCGTCTATTCGAGGCATGCCGCCCGGGCCGACCAACGAGACGTCGACGGGCGCTTGTGGGGGGAACGATAGCCTCCCGGGAGACATGGGATGAAGGGCATGTTCGGATGACTGATGCGCGGGTGCTAGTCATGGTGCTGCAGCTCAGTGATGGAACGAGGAATTGAGGCTCAGAGGGCGAGGACGCGCTTCCTGAAACGCGGCGGTTGGGGGCTGATTCGAGGCGACGGCGAGCGGTTCGTCGCCTGTTTTACTCTTGCTTGTAAGGTAGAGACGATCTTGGCTGGCTGCTGTGATTGGTGTCCACGAGCGGGCGTCTTTTGCAGCTGGCGTTTGAGAATAAGGATTTGAGCTGAGAAGAGGAATACGCCGCCTGCAGTCTTTTGGCGCCCAGCACCAAAGCCTTGAATTGCATCTGTTCAAACCTCGAACAGCGATCCTTTCAGAGATAGCTGTCCTGGCGGCCCGATGGACAAGGGGGTGTCAATGTAGACGCAAAGCTGCTGGAATATCGGTCAACTGCATCATTCTCGTGGGAGAGTTAAAATGGCAAGCCTCAGTTTTGGTGGTAGAATATTTGCTTTCTTATTGTTGGTCCTGGTGCGGCGTGGTCCTGGTGCGGCGAACTTTTCCCGCTTCCACGCCGCGACCGAGACATCAAAGGATGGAAGTGACCGGACGGCGCCACGCTCCGGTAAGCGGACGCCGCTGGAAGATGACCACTGGCTTACACAGGAACCTCCTTACACAGTCCTCGCAGGAATCTTGCAGTGTTCGTTCTGTCGAGTCTCGGCGGAGTGGCATTTCGTACGAAGAGTGGCTTGGCGGGCTTCGTGCCTGCGCCTTCTCTTCCAATGCTATGGGCATGGGTTGTTGAATATGAGTGACGTTGGCTTGACTGCACCGCCATGGCGTTATCAAAGTGCCGATTAATTCTTCTTCCTTTTTTCTCCCCTTGCGACGGAGACAATTCGCATTGTGACGCTGGCCGGTTGAGGGTCAACATGGCCCTCAAAGCCACCAAAGAAGGAACCGAATGACTAACCACCAGAGCCACGTTCGGATCCGGGAAGTGGCGGCTCGCGTGGGACGGGAGGGGAGAATGAATAATCGCCGCGGGGGAGGCCCGAAGTGTGGCTGGTTCCGTGGTACGTTCGCCGTCGCTGTCGCGTCCTACGGACTACGGTATGGCGCTGGGGCTGCGACTGCGACTGCGACTGCGAGTCGCGAGGGGCCAGGGCCGAGGGCGACCTGGGCGAGGGAAAGCGCAGCAGGCCAGGCCAGCAGCCAACAGGAACAAGGGGGCCCGACACAGCGCAGCAAAATCCCTGAAGAGGGTGATCGGGAGAGTCGTCGATCAACTGACTAAAGAGCCGAGGCCGGCGATCAGCGATGGGATGACAGATTGAGAGCAGCGCACGCACCACACCTTGGAATCCCTGCTGGGCAAATGGGAACGCGCGAGCATCCCAGCGTGACAGGGAAAGGGGGGGGGGGGGGCGTGAACTTTGATGCCATGAAAGGCATGGCCGCAACTGTGGCTCAAAACGGGAGAGAGACCGCCCTATGCGGGGTACAGATTCAGCGAATGCCTGGTTTCCATCACCCCATTCTATGGTCCCAAGTCCCTACCCACGCATGGGCATGCCTCCCATCAGCTGGCACAAGCCGAACGGTGCAGGGGACAAGACACCATAACTGGTTCATCGCTTCAGTGGGCGCTTGAAATCGCATCACGAACATCTCCGTGTGGCGGAGACTGCCGTTGTTTGCTGCGTCAGGCGAACAGGTGTCTTTTTCGATGCACTTTGTCTGAGCCCGCACCGGATCACGTCGCTGTGGCCGAAGTCGTTGTCGCATTCGACCCAACAGGCCGGGGGAAAACCCCATCAATTTTCGTCAATAGGCCTCCCAGCCAGCTGGTCGTGGGCAAGTTCAAGACTTCAGCCACAATTTGTCTCGGGACAGAGCCACCTCGTGTGGCCTGGGCTTTGAGGCGCGATTGGCGAACTCGTACTGCAGTGCTGGTGTTCTGTTCCAAGGCCATCCCGCCAATCACGGCTCTCGCGTGGCATTGTACCGGAGTGGTCTCCGACACACCAGGACCGAAGCGGCAAGGCCTTCCGGAAAATGTGGGCCCCGAGTTTGAGGAGGTGGGAGATGGGGCTCGGGAGTCGTTGAGGGGAGGGAGAAGGGAGGCGGTGAGGAATTCGGTCGGGTGCCGAGACGATCTAGACGGACGGACGGCCGGCGGACTCTGCAGTGTTTCTGCAATGGCTGGACGAGGTTGAGTCTCTGCGTTGGCTCAGCATGCGACGTGGACCAACTCGACCGAATGGATTGGAGATGCCACAGCGAATGAGCATATCCTGGCGGTGATGATGGGTTGATTCTGCTCCCCCCCCTTCCAAGTTCCTCCCGTCTTGCTTGTGATGCTTGTAAGCAGGGTACCTGGTTGCATTACTGCATCAATCTTCCGGTGCCAGATACAGTTGAATAGTCTCCTCTGCCATTGACCGCCCCCCTGAGAATGGGGTTTAGTTGGACAGCCGATGATGCACTCGTACGCTTGCGCAACCACTTCTCTCCAGGGCTAGACTCGAAGCTGTAGTCTCTCCCTCCCCCGCCGCGTTACAAGCAAAAGAGGGTGCAGATCGGTCGTGTCTTTCAGGGGAAACTCCGGGTGGGCTGCAATAGAGGTTAGGCTGTTGCAGAACTTCAAGCATACCCATCTTCCCAGCACGCAGCGCCTTGATGCATGGTGGCGGTCGTTAGTACCCTCCTGCCCGAGATAAGAGGGGTATCATATTGCCCGTCAGTTAAACAGATAAAGAACCAAGACGCCTGACACATTTCGCAAGTCGCTCGGTGGCCCGCGGGTCCCGCGGGTCATGGCGAAGCCACCGTCGCAGGAGGTCATTTTGAAAAGACGCTTGGTAGGGCTCGGGCATGTGGTTGTCGACGGTGCCTCTGCCCGCTTGTCAGCTGCCATCCAGTCTCTGTCCATGTCTTTGCAACGAGGGGCCCGGGCTAATTCGCACAAGACTCTGCATGCAAGTCGTTGGCTCGCGATGGAGCCAGGAGAAGCTCACTTTGTTGGGGGCCTTTTGACAATGCGTGACTGTGACTGCTTGCTTGCGTTAGGCTGTCAGCTTCCTCACCCCTCCGCATTCTCGACCCTCACCCTGCGTCTCGGCGTCGGTCCACTGACCCGAGAAAGTCAGAATGAAATGGAGAATATAGGGGAACCGTTGCAGTGATCCCAAACGCGACTTGGACACGTAAAGCCGGAGGAAAGAAGGGGGGGAGTGCATTCGATTGGGAATGAAGAGGCATACACATGAAACCGTAACGTGGGGAACGATCTACTTCAGGGGACGGGAGTAACGATTAGTGCGTGAGCATATTGCCAGGCTTCAACAGGGGGGACATTTCCCTCCAGTGAAGTCGAAAACGAGCTCGTTCCCTGCCACAGCATGGCTACACCCTCTTGTCAATTGCGGGAAGGGAGCCATCAGTCATGCGAACCCGAAACTTTTGACTTTTTGGCGGGTGGCAGGATTGCGCCTGTATCCATCCGTAGGCTGTTGGCAGCATTAAGACAGAGTCCGTGTCCTGCGTGCTGCCGGAGATCATCTCCAGCGTAGGGCAGGGTAACCGGTTATGGGAAAGGCATGAGGCCCAATCTCGACGTTTGGCTGTGATTGACTGGCGGTAAAGGTTGATTGGCCTGGGCGTTTAACTGTTGAGTTCGGGACTAGGATTGCATCGAGCGCTTTGTGCTTGATCGAGGATTGGATGAGATTCCCGCCTTGTGGAGGAACTCCGTGTATTCGGAAAGTCTGTTTGGGATTTCAGTGGGAGGCGAGTAGGTGAAGCCACACGATTAACGGCTTCTTCTCCCCTTTCAGGCAAGCCAAGGTGCGCCATGAAATCCAGGTTCCTGCTGATAGCCCGAAAGCCCGACAAAGGAGCAAACTCCCTAGCTAGAGCGTGAGGTTCTCAGGTTCGTGGGGTTGGGAGACAGTTCCTGGCTGGACTAGGCTGAAGGTAGCCTAAGCCTTTGAAGTTAACAGGGAGCCACTGCTGAGCATGCCAGCAGGCCGCTAGAGTGCAAGACGATTGACCGTGGTTGGCTGACGGCCCCTCGTGTTCCGCTAGTTGACGGTTAAGCTGGTGGCAGGATGCAAAACCATTAGGGAATGTCTCAGAGGCCGAAGAGAGGGTGCTCTGTGTGTGTCGTTTCATGAACAGCACCCGACGCTTGCCCCGTTGCGGTCTTCTTTTGCTGTTGAGCTGTTGATGCGAAATGGGAAACAACATTCATGATGATTTCGAAACCAAGGAATCGCCTAGGCGGGATTGGCAGTGCCGTGCCGCAACTTGCGGGCGTGGTCTCACTTTGTTCTGACTGTTCAAACTTTTGCTAGCGCGGGCGTTGGCTTTTGGAGCAAATCTGTGATGCCAAAGCTGGAGGAGGCGTTCATCGTTCTCCATGTGGACTTCTTCTTGAAGATGGGCGGCATCATGCTGACCGTAATGCACACCAAAGCAGTACTGGTTGCAGAACAGCTGGCTGTGGCTTTGTTTGATGATACTTTCCGCCCAAGGGTATACCAGTGAAAGTACAGCAAGAAATCCAAGGCCCAAGAAGGGCGTGCGTTTGTTGATCTCTTCTGAGGCGGCGATAAGATTGGCAAATGCGAGCATGATTGCGGGCGAGCAGCATGGGCGTCTCCAAAACAAAGCAGCATAGCCAAGCCTGGACAGCAGCCCAACAGCAGTAGACCGTAACATTGCAGAGCGGCAGGGGACGCGAGATGAGTCACGGAGGCGTTAGGTAGGTAAACTTGTCCCCAGAGCCTAAAGTTCTAAACAGAGGGCGAGAAGCAGGGCGGCGGCGGCGAATCGGCGCCAGGTCAGTATAGATCGGTCACTACGCGGGCCGGTTTTCATCGGTCGGGAACCGCGCGGCGCGGCGTGCTAACACTTGATAGACGTGGTGGTTGATATCATGTCTTGTTCAGGTAAGGTGATGCAAGGCCCGTCGATACGCTGTTTCAGAGAGGGGGCCGAAAATAAAGAATAGCGGAGATTACAGATAGACGCCCACTGGTTCGAGCGGGACGGGTTGAAGGGTTGTCGTCGTCCAGACGGAAGCGAGAACTCGTTCTCCGGAGGGCCTCGTTTCTTGGCCGTCTGCGTAGATCGATTGGAAGAGAGCGTCGGAGAAAAGTGCCCGTCGCTTGTTTCATCTGCGTACTCGACGTAGGACGCGGCCACCAATGAGCCGCGCGCATCTGTCGTGTCATTTTCAGGTCTTTGGGACCTTGGGTGAGGTAAACGGCAGGCCAACTGTAGGACCTTGTCAGTGACAGCGGAAAGCAAGCTGACGTGCGTAGGAAGTACCTTAGCTTGGATTGCTTGGGTTTGCCATGCTTTGCGTGACCTCGCGTGCCTTGCTCTGTTCTGTTGTGCTTTGCCGTGAAGTAATATCCGTAATTGATTCTTTTTGGGTGCTGAGCTGGCGGCTGAGGATTCGTTCACTTGATCCAGTCACATTTCATCTCTAGTTCCCACGCGTCAGGCAAGGGCTGCACGAAGAGGCGAGAGGCAAGGGAGGACGACTCCAGATGAAGGTACGTACTCGGTACTTGCTCCTTCCTCCTCTTGATAGAGTACCTTGGCCAATGAGAATGTTCAACCTGCGTGAGGTGCAGCCGCCAGCTCACTTAACTGTGCAGTACTTGTAGGTTCAACTGACAGATGGAGAAGCAGCGAATGGCTGGGGGTGGGTCTGCCTCCGTGCCTCCCTTTCCTTCTTCTCCCGCCATCGTATCCGTAAGGTACGAGCCCAAGTATGTACTTTCCAAGTGAACAAGAATAGGCAAGCACAAAGGTATCCATCTACATCAGTACCTTCCTATCCGTACTCCGTACCCCGTACAGATAATCTTAGTCGCGAGTCGCCGCCAGCTTTCGTACGTGCGCATGTTTGCTGCAGTCTCTCGTCTGGGGCTCTGGGTGGACAAGAAAAACTCCTGCTTGTTTTGGGAGACAAGGGCCCTTGCTTGTGGGATCGTGTCTTGGTGTTTCTGCAACCACTGGCTGAAATAGGATCGCTTCTGGTGTGCAGCGGTACTGGGGTGGAGGACTGGAGGGGCCTTGAACCGAGCTGTAATGACCAGTCAACGGGCTTCGTGAGACACTCCAAATGAAGGTCGACCTATTACACGATGGTTCACTGCTCGCTTGTTGTCGTTCTTGTTCGTCGCCGCCGTCAAGGACCGGCGGATCCAATCTTGCATCGTGCTCCCGTCCGTAACCCAGCGTTGCGCGTGTACCTGGATTTGGGCCGTGGTCTTGGTCATGGTCATGGTCTTGGTGACTGGTCCCCAATCTTACTTTGGGTCTTGGTTGTTGGGCTTGCAAAAGTAAATATATCGATCTCATCCCTCACCTCGGCGCCTCTAGCAGCACTATATTTCATCCCTGTGTCCTCCTCCCTCTTGAGCCTTGAATCTTGAGTCTTGATCTGCTCGGACGTGATTCTCCTTTTCCAAATCAACTTGCATCATCACCATCACCGGTATTCGAGGGCTGTTGTATTGAATACGACAGTTTGTCATTAGTCCTTTCCGCATCCAATAGCACCACCGCCGAGCTTCACCACCGTTCATCAACCAGCGAAAGCAGGGAGACGGAGCAGAGACAGCACCGATTCGGAGGTACCCCGGAAGCTACCGATCTACCAACGCAGAACGCGTCTCTTTCCCCCGATTTCATCTTCATCAACAGCCGGCCTGGTTGATACGAATCGAATCTCTTCAATAATTGTTTTTTCCTCCAGTTGCCGGGCTTCTTGTTTACCACTCTGTTTACTTTCATCGGATTTCTTGTTTACTCTCTCTCTCTCTCTCTCTCGACTATCGAACCCCTCCGTTGCTGGTCATCGCGTCTCCGAAAGGTACCTCCTTCCAGGTACCTCCTTCCAGGTACTTGCTGAATCCCGTCACGGCCCCAAGTGTCCGTCGCTCCTTCCCCCTCGGGCCCCTCCAACGACTTTCCCATTCCAGTGGTTCTGTCGCCCCACAGCAGCTGCCAGTAGCGCCTTCCAACTGTGCACCACTACCTTACGGAATACACACGCACACAGACCAAGCGTCGCTCCTGCCCGCTCTCATCCCATCCCATCGCCGCCAGTGCCTTTCCGCCCGCCGACTTGCCCAGGCTCTTCTCCAGATAATACCAATTTTGATCCCTTTGGTCACGTCCGCCATCCGCCGTCCATCATCAAGAGAAACTGGAACTGGAACCGATATTCCTTATTGGATCTATTGAATCTTGCTTGGATCGTCACTTCCCTGTCGTCGTCAGATATTTCGCCCACGCGAGTCTGAATTAAAAGGCAGACACCGGCCTGCATTCTTTCACCCATCAGCCACCAGCCATCAATCAATCAATCACTCTCTTCACCACCACCAACGGCAATCATCACCAACACACGGATACACTTCAACACCAGCCGGCCACTTCCTCTCGCTCAGGCCTTTTACTGGTTCTTTTTTCGCTCGTATTATACATCGTCAGCCCCAGGCATACTGCATACTATCTTGCTTCTCACGCAAATCCGACACTACAACTTGGTGCATCACCTCATCTTTTGCGAAGCCGAGATTCACGCGAGAGACAAGAGACGCCCGTTTGTTCACATCTTCGATCTGACACTTTAATCCTCGTGTTCAAGTCCGCCTTCAATTCTGCCGGAAAGCCTCGACCCTTGGACAAGCACCTGCTGCATGCTGCATGCTGCATCATAGCGTGTGTGGTTCCCAATCAATCTCATCCACCCAATCCAGTCGACCCCAACTGCCCGACTTGGACATCCCCTGCTTGCGGCTTTCCATTCGCAGAAGACAACCTGCACCGCCTCGCACCCCAACTGCCACCGGACACACTCCCGACACTTTTGCACGGTCGAGAACTTGACGGAAAGCATCAAGTACCCGCTACCTCCTTCTCCGCGCAATTTTGACCCGTCGGCTCACGTACCCCATACTCTCCACCGCATCGCCCTGAGAAGTGGAAAGCGGTTTCAACTTCGGAAAAGTGCATTGCCAAAGCCTCACTCACATACAACTCTGAACGTACACACGGTTCACTTTGTGGTCAACCTTGGACGTTGCCGAACCTTCTCTACGGGATACGTTAGAACTTGGGGACACTGCTTGACAACTGCCCTGTCGTCATTTCCATTTTCCCAGCACTCTGGTCCAGTAGAACAGTTCTTTGGACACCTTGCTTGTCGCATCGAAAGGCTCCATTTCTAGGACCGTCCCGAATCCTCAACACCTTGACGTCGGTACCTTGTTGCCCTGTAACGGCAATATCGACTTAATTCATCTGTCAGCGACACTTTGCGCCGGACAAACTTTCGAGTCTGGCCTCTTGCTCCGAGTTGAAAGGAGTGTCAATCATTTTCCCGTCTTCGACCGCCGCTCTCACGTTTTCGGACTTCGGATCCCGGCCGAACAAAGCACCAAGTCGCTGCTGACCAGCTCTCTGCTTTCTGCTGCACACCCGACCGCATCGCAACCGCCCCGCGGCCCCGAAAACAATTAATCAACAATCGACATTCGTCTTACACCGTCCGCTGGCTCGGAAGCTCTGGACTCGACCGCCCTCGTCGTTGCCAATAATTTCGATCCTCAAACGGATCACCGCCGCTCTGCCGCTTCTACCGCCTTCAGGTAGAGCAAACTAATACCTTACGGATACTCCATCCATCCCACTCTCTCATCCCGCTCGCTGCCGAGTGCCTTGGACGCACGACGCACGACGCACGACCCAACCGTCAATCGTCACTTGTTTAATCAATCCGGTCCAACTCAAATCGCCGACCGTTGGCTCAATCTGTCCTAGACAGTGCTCGACGCATCAAGCTCATTTCACGACAAGACGAAGGAAATCACCTCGCCGTCTTGACCCTTTCTCCTAAACCCAAACCCAAAATCACAGGCCGCAATAATCCCTGACTCGCCCCCGGGTCGTTTTACTTGACGCCGTCAACTCCTCACCCGCAACTCTTCCAAGCGCTTGGCAAAAGTTGACTCGGCTCTCGCTGTCCGTTTGCAGAACCTTCAAAAGTTGTCCTATTCCTCCATTCGTCATAGGCCACCGGGCAATTTCCAGAAGTTTGGCTTTTGGTCTGTTCACTGCCATTGTCGTCGCCTTGAACAATCGCAAAAGTCATTAGCCGCCGTACTCCAACTTCTCTGTTTCCAGCTTCCAGGAAACCCACTCGACCAGCGCCCTTTCGTCCTTCTTTGCCGACGTCGTTGGCGTCTACCATTCACAAATCGCCACCTGCCGGATACTCGCCGACTTCGCCGAAATAGTATTCCATTCTGCTATACCAACACATTCACACAATCATTGCAACAATACCGACAGCACCGCAGCTAGACTGTTTCTCTCCGTTGATACCGAGGAGATTTACTTGTTTCCGTATCCCATCGACGGCAACATCTTTTGCACCGCCAAGGCCACTTGCGAGAACCTCGCAAGCAACAATATTACACTCTTCGGTCTGGGCAGACTCAGAGAGTAGCGCCACAGTGCCATCTCTAGGTTAAATACAGCAACGAGAAAAGCAAACCCACCGACTTGCAGCCGCTCGCACCGAGTCTGCAACCCACGAGAGTCTAGAGATCCAGACCCCTGTCGGCCAGTCCGCTACGCACCCCCTGCGACCTCGCTTCTTTTGGACAACTCTCTTGTCCAGTTCTTGGTGGTGGTCGTTTATCGACACACCTTTCTGTTCACGCCTCCCTAACCACCCCCTGCCACCCGTAACCCAAGCACGCCCCTCCCCCCCTGCACCCCTGGGATCTACAGCATTCCAGCCCACCCCAAGCATCCAAGCCCCCCCCCCCAGCAGGCACTTCCCTCGGCGTCCTGCTGAGACTCCCCTAAAAAACTAACCCCCTACTACGCTAGCACTTGACTAGCGACCCCCTGACAACCTGCCCACTCAGCCTCGTGGACCGCACGTCACCCACTGACGACTGGCTGTTCCGCATCCCTCTCTACCAGGCCCATCCCCAGAGGCTGACCCCAGCAATTGCGACGAGGCACATGAACTTCGCCGCACACCACGCTCGTACCCTCCTTTTCGTCTGAATATATCAGCCCAACCTGCCCTTCTACCATTCTTTCCACTCTCCTCTCATTTCGTCACTCTTCACCGAACCTCACCAACCAACAACAAAAGGAACACTCCTTCTACACCAAGGAGCCCTTGATTGTACTACGACTCCACTTCGGAATCATCATCTCCATCTTCATCATCCACCACCAACCACCTCACCCTCAACCACGTTACACATACACACAATGGAGTCACGGTCACATCTCAGCATGGCCGAGCTCAACGCCGCCGCCCTCGACCACTTCGTCTACCAGCCCGTCAGCAAGTCCATGATCTCGTACTTGGCCGGCGCCGCCTACAATGTCATCTCATGCGACAGTGCTCTGATGCCTCCCGCATCCGCAGAGGCCCAACGTCAACAGCAGCTTCCCCCGACGCCACCCAGGACACCCGAGCCCCGCGCCGTTTGCAACGAGGACGCCGACTTGCCTACTCTCGAGGCCTTCATCACACAACTCGTTGTTTCCTCCAACGTCCAAGTTCCTACCCTGATGTCTACCCTGGTCTACCTCGCCAGACTCAAGTCCCGCCTCCAGCCCATGGCCCGCGGTCTGCGATGCACAACACACCGCATCTTCCTTGCCGCACTCATCCTTACTGCCAAGTACCTCAACGACAGCTCACCCAAGAACAAGCACTGGGCCACATACAGCCACGTCAACAACGACTTCTCCAACTTTGGTTTCAGCAGAACGGAGGTCAACCTGATGGAGAAGCAGCTTCTCTTCCTTCTCGACTGGGAGCTCAGGATCTCCGAGGAGGACCTCTACCGCGAGCTTGATCCCTTCCTGGCCCCCATTCGTGCCGAGATCGAGGCCAAGCACGCTCGCCGCATCGCTCGCCGCCGCAAGCAAGAGGAGGAGATGCGCCGCAGACACGAGGAGATGTACAGCATCCCCGCCTACCCCAGCCCCCCGTCATCGCGCGCGAGCTCCCGCTCCCGCTTGGAATCGCCCGACCACGCCCGCACCTACAGCGGCTCTTCCATCACTCCTCCCGGCCTGTGCTACAGCAGCAGCTATGGCAGCTCCGTCAGCTCCTACGCTCCTTCAGTGGCATCGAGCCGGTCTCAATCGCGTGCCACGACGCCTCTCGACAACCCCGCCGACGAGCCGTACATGTACGTTCCCAACGGTAGCTTGTACGAGTCGCCAGTGGAGGTGCACATTGAGCAGCCTGCATCAACGCTTCCGAAGCGCAAGCCTCTTTTGCCCTACGAAATCAGCACCGAGGAGCTCCGCGACATGCAAGATGGCACAAAGGCCAAGAGAGCCCGCATGGGCCGCGGGATGTGGGGCCGCGTCTTCGGCGGCGCCGTGACTGTGCGGTAACCTGCTGCGCAACACAATTTTCACCTTTGTCACAGCCTCCATTACAAGAGTAGTTTTTTTTTTTTTTTTTAGTTTTTTTGCGTTTTGAGCCACCCCCCCCAAAAAAAGCATGGTGTTGGATTGTGCTATAGAGACATCCGGGGGAACAGACTTGATTTCACCATCTTTTCCTTTTTTCTTTTTTCTTTTTCCCCAAGGCGTTGGTAATGGACTGGTGGTACATGGGCTTACGGATCGAGGATAGAGCATCCTCGGGCATTTGCATATATGGAACGGTGTTGGGCGGACATTCATAAGCAAGATTTTTCTCTTCTTTGGGCCATTTGACGTCCTCGCATGGTAGAGGGTCGTCGTGTGGGATTAGGAATTGGGGAAACTGGCAAGCCACGACTAAGACAAGTCTGGCACATATCTTAGCGTAGCAGCAGTACGCGGGCAACAGATCAACTCGCAATTGCGAGATTTGACGACCCTACAAATGAAAGCGACGGGCCTTGGCTCGATTCCAAACAATCATCTCTACTTTCCAACATTTTTGGTTTCGTGAACAGTGAATCTGACTTCTGCTTGCAGCTTTGGCCAGAATTTGGGGGTGAGGGTTTCCGGAATCATGGCTCAGAACGGTTGGCGCTAGTGGGGGAAAATTTATTCTTGTATGCATACCATGTCTTGGTGAGGCCCTCGTGACGGGTGAATGCAGCCCAGCCAACCAGCGGTGTGTGGGGGGTTGAACAGTGAGCTGTGAGCCGTGAGCAGGAAGGATTTCGCATTCAGCGGACAATGCGAGACATTGATCCCGTAAACAATTGGCGGTCCAGCAGGGGGGGCGATTAGCCGCGATACTACGCTGCCGGTTATTTACGATGTTCTCATGTCTGGCTGCAGCGTCTCACGGGGTCTGTTGGACTTGAAGGGGGGGATCGCATGCAGTCAACTTTCCTGAGTGATGCAGTTGATTTGCTCTTCAGATGTTGCAGTCAATTTCTTGATTTTTTCCCCTCTTGACGATGACGAGGTACTTTTTTTTTTTTTTTTTTTTTGTGTGTGTGAGAAAGGGCGAATTCTTGGTTGCATGACGTGCCATGACTTGTTGTTGAAGCTTATCTCCCCCCCATCCACATGCTGTCAATACCTACAGGTAAGGTACTGCATACTCTAGTCATGAACATGCACCAAACGACGTCAGTACGCAGGCACCGCAGGCAAGTTAGGTACGGACATGAATCGGACGAGAGTTTTTCTGTAGGTACAGACATACACACACACCGATATAAGGTTGCAGCACCGTCTGCGTTGGCCTTGTCCTCCAAAAAGGATGCGGTCAGGACTCGGAGAATAAACAATGAAAAAAAAAAACCCCCCTCGAAGAGTCTACTGCGTAGGAGGATCGGAAGACTTGCAATCGTAAACGTCTTCTTGGGTGTCACGAACGAGTTCGGCATTTTAAAGGGTACTGGAACTGGATATCCGTATTTGGGATTCTAGGTGAGACAAGTACGACTTTTGGGATTTACCGACGATGAATGCGGGTGAAGCAGTGGTGCTAGGAGACCGGGTACGGGGTTTATAGAACGGATGGAGACGGACGGACGGGGGTTTGGGTGGGAAAGAACGTTTACGTGCGGTAATGGCTTCGGAAGGCAAGCCCTCCAGATCATTTCTTCACCGGTTCAAGGAGGGAAGGGGAAAGAAAGACGAAGACAGATTTTGGATTTGGCTACGGTTCGTTGGATCGGGTTGAATACGGACTTTGTGGCTTGACTCCCTCCTCCCATCCTTCTCTTGGTACCTTATCGGAGAATAGCGGTCGACGATGTCGGCGGTGGGATCGGAGAGGAGGAGGGGGTCCAGGCCTTGGAGATATCGCGGGGTACGATACCTTAGTCAAGGGTTTAGTGTGCCGTATTCTGACAATTGACACTTTGACGGGGCCATGACAGGATTCGAAATCCAACAAAACCCACACAATCTAGATCTAGGCTTCCCTCATCCTCTGGGCCTGTTACCCTCTCACCCCCTTCAGCCCCCTTCCAGCTTTTGACGCTACCGCCACGGTACTACCTACAGTTGGTTTTGGTGTTACCGCGATAATAAGCGTTCGGGCATCGTTCCGGGTCTTTGGGTCGGTGAGTGCGTGTGTCTCTTGGGCCCCTCTCCGACTAGAGCGGAGAATCCCGAAAAAGGTGTTCGCGGTCGGGAAAAACTAGGAGATATCGTGTGTCCGTCTTTCTCCGGTCCCAGAGAGGATCAAGCCCATAGATGGTGGGAGGGGGGTGTGAGGGTTTGAACGATTTCGATCGGAATGCGGCTCACGATACTTGACCCCGGTGAGCGGAACAACCCCCCGTCACCTAACCCTCCATGAGAGCTCTCATCGTCACGTTTATTCTTGTCTTCCTTTCTCGCATCCAGCTTACGTATCGTTACCTCCAAATCCGCTGTGTATCCAACGGGTTTACAGGATACCCTTCCCGGCATGAGCGTTTTAGAGCGATGCACATCACGGAGTACAGGTGTCGTGACGCACAATGTGGTTACACGGGTCCCCTACCCGTAGTTGGCATCTGCTACAAACGGTCGAAATACCCAAAGGGAGGCGGATAAGTACCAAAAATTCGCCGACAAGGTTTTTCTCAATTCTTAGGGGTCCAAAGAAACAGTGACGTCTGCAAAAGGTGCCATCTTGGGCATTTGGTTGGGCGACGATGAACGAGCGAGAGCAAAGTTCACACACTTTTCAAGGTGCTTGAGCTTGAGCCTTGGAGTTGGCTGTTGGTTTGCCTTGGTTTGCTTGGGTAGGCGTGGGTGGGTAGGCGTGGGTAGGCGTGGGATGGAGGGGTCTTGCTTGCTCAACCACCCCCGTTTTTTTAGACACGTATGTTGGCCTACTAGGTATCAATTATGCAGTGAAATCCTCGTCCTCTAGGCATCATCATCACAAGCTTGGAGGGAAGGTGAGGAAATAAGAAAACAAGGTCCAGGTCGTTGCAGAATACGCATCCTGGTGGACTATGGGGGGTGGGGGAATTCGGGCTGCAATCGCTATCGGGGGAAAAATGTCGGTCAAGGGTCGGAATTTGGGATTGGAAGAGGAGTGGAAGGGGGGAGGGGTGTGGGCGATGATCGTGCATCGCTCAGATTTCCGCCGTGCTTTAGGATGTGCATGTGTGGCTGGGGCCGGGGTGGAAAGGAAAGGCAACGAAAACCATCAGGAAGCAGGATTTTTAGGCTCCGACCTCGCGAAGATATTCCCCTCCTCACACACACACACACACACACACACACACACACACAGAGTACCGTGCAGGTGTTCCTACTCCTCGCTCGTATGAGTGGATGAGGTTTTGTTTGCCAGAGGTCGTGATTGTGAGGAAGAGGCCTTCCTTGCCCTGGGCCCAGGCAACCTAGGCTTGCCTGGTCAAGACGCGGATACGTGGATGACGGTTGCAGGGTGTGCTCCTCTTCGTGTTCAGTGTTGGGCTCCAGCAGGCTTGTAAGGGCCGGAGCATCGTCCCATGCTTGGCCGCTGGCCGGCGGTCGGGGTCGGCGTGGGTCTCTCGAGACCGGCTCGGAGGGGCTGGGGGAGTGTTCATCAATCGACACTAGATGAGTCACGAGGTCGGGGGGCGGCGGGCCAAGTTTTGCGGTCGGATGAATGGCAACATTGGTCCAGTCCCAGTCCTTTCTTCGCGATGCGCCAATAGTCCAACGGGTCCCGGTCGCTGGCCCAGTGGATTACCTGTCATCTTTCTCCCCTCGAGGTCTGGTCACTATCCACGAAGAGCCCGTGTGCGCCTGTCAGCTTTTTGCCCAACCCCGGTGCACGGCGTGCCGTTGGCCCGTCGCATACGCCTGGCTTGGGTGCGTGAGAACCCGCCCCCGGATTCGTGGACACGGGCCGTGGCAAAGGGTCGCCTCGCGCCAAGGTCAAATGACTTGCATCCCTGCCACCCTTGCCTTCTCTCCCATGCCCCGCGCAATCCCACTGGCGTGCTGTAGAACCACGGCCGCGTCGCGAGACCGAGGGCTCCGGCTGGGCGAACCGCGAAGTCACGGGGAAGTCAGCCTGCCGTCATCGACTGTGCCTCCACCTAGCCGGACGGGTATCCGAACGGATACCAAGGTTGATTCAATGTGGCTTGGGCCAACCGTTCGTTTTTTCCTCGTTTCCCACCTTGCCGATAGAGCTGTGTAGGTTTGTTAGTGATTAGGTGTTTATTTTGAGTTGGTCCACATTGTTGACTTTCGAGGCGTTGGCAAACCTAACGGCCGTTGGGGAGTTGCTGCGCCGTGTCCTCAGCCCCAAGTTCTCAACCAAAAGCATGAGCTACACGCCAAGGTGCTCGCATCGCATAGTATTTGCCAGTGGATGTCTCGGCAAAAGGTCAACAGCCAAAGAAGTAAAACCATGTCAATCCTTTTGTCCCTTTGAATATGCCCGGCCTTGGCTGCGCAGTGTTTGGACTTTGGATTGTCTGCAGTCTTTTGATGACGCTGATAGCGGAGCTCGCGGCTGGCACGGCGACGCCAAGGAATGCCTTAAGCACCCAGTATCTGTATCGAGCCAAGCCCCACACGCATCGTGACTTTCAACTTCAATATTAGGTGTGTCGATCGTCACATTATTGCCAATGGCAGGGCCGTAATGCCAAGACGAGGAAGTTGGACATTAATCTTTGAGGTGATCATAGACTTTTCAGTGTTGTAAGCCCGCACTGCCCCGCTGTCCCAGAGATGCGCTGACATGGGATTCAGCTGAGCCGTGGACGCTTGAAATCGACGCGATGATGCCTCAAGCCCCTCCATAAGCCAGCAGAGGGATATACCGTAATGCTGATGAAAGTAGCCAGACTGAGGTTGTTTTTCGCAATGCCGACACCAAAGGGGGTAGATGCAGTGTTGGTCGGTGCTCTCGAACTGGAAGCTTCTGACACAGCCTGAGCGGTTGGTCCGATGTCGACATAGCCTTGAGGCTCATCCCGCGTCTGTTCGCCGACCTCCAGAATGGGTACGGGCAGTATGCTATCCGAAGTTTTCTGCCTCGACTTTTGCCGAATGATCTTGCACGGCCGTGGAAATTGTTCCAGAATTCTTCGTTGGAGCACGTTGCAGTCTGCTTGGACGGTTTGCGATGGCTGGCTGGTCAGGATGCAGCTTTTGAAGGCGAAGCTTCGGCCGCATGGGGGCGCAGCGGTCGTGGTGATTGGAGGAAGCGAGAGGCCGATTTTGTCACAGTCGTTGGAATCCTTCTGCAGTATACTCAGCGAGCGAGAATAGAGGCACCCAAGTTTCTTGACGGGTCTGTATTGAACGAGGTCCAAGTATTGGTTGGTGGACGTTGCCCTTGTTTGTGCCATGAAGATAACCTGGAACAACAGTATTGTGCCTCTGCCAACGTGTCAGCCGCAAGCTGTGTTACCCACGCGTCGTTCTGTGAGAGATTCATGGTGGCGCCCTTTGGGTTGTTTGTTCTTGTTCCACGCAGGCATGCAAGTGAGACAGCAGGCGCAGGTCACTTTAGTCTCTGTCAACGGCTTGTCTTTTGAGAGCAGCTTGACGGATCGACAGGAACAGACATGGGTAGCTGAGAGGCGATCCGCCGAGGTGTCATGTCGAGGATGAGTGAGCAATAGCAACTGCAGCTGCGCTTAGAAATCAGGGTCCACGTGGATCTTGCTGCGGCTAGCGGCTAGCGCAATGCGGGGAGGCGCTATAGACGCTGTCTGGTGAGATTTGCCACTGGAAAACAGAAGATGGAACATGGATAGATCTAGTAAAGATCGACTGACAGCGGGTGTAGTTGAGAAAGGTGCATGCAGTGGTACCCAGAGAAGGAATGTTGGAGATCTGAAGAAGAAGAAGAAGAAGAAGAAGAAGAAGAAGAAAGTGTCAACCAAAGTAAATCGAACAAAAGGCTAAACGGTGGTCCTCAATGGCCGAGTATGTTAGGGTTCCACTTGCGCCCGCCCCCCAGACCACTCCGCCATTGACTTCCTAGTCGCTTGATAAAGGAGGCAGGTGAAGAAATATAAGTATCCTTCGTGCCTTCTTTCTGAGTGTTGAGATGGAAGGCTCTTGCGTATTCCAGTCTGGATGTAAGGTAAGGTACCCAAACTGGAAGCGCGCCCGGTTTTAGCGTGTCAACGTCGGGTGCCTGCCCCTTGAGGCACTCAAATGAAACCTGGACGGACCCATTATGAGCAGATTACGTCACGCCTGTGTCTCTGGTACCTGAACAGACAGTGCCAACACAGTTTCAATCAACCTACATCGAGGCAAGTTGGACAGTGCAATCACCGTGTTCCTGCAGAAAAAGTGGTGAGTCGCTGACTCTGATACCTGAGAATTCTGCACCGCACAAAACGCGCATCCCCAAAGAGGCAAAGGGCCACTCTGTTCAGCATTTCAAAGCAGCACAATTGCCGCGCTGTAATTTGAAAAAAGTAAAGTCAAACACCGAATGGTCTAGCAGACCAGGGGGCAAGGAGGTAAAACAATCGTAGAATTCTCGTAAATACTTCATTTTCTCCGACACATGCAGTTGTGTGGTTTTTGGTAGTGCTGCATGAAAGGGACGTGGCATCAATCCCTCGCGTCGGCATTCATTTGGAGAAGAAAAAAAAAACTCGGACACCGAGCTCTGAAGCAAACTGAACATCGTCTGCTCAAGCTCATCTACTTGCTGTTCACTCGGCCTTTGATCCTACCAATTTTCCTCACTTTTACGCTTGTTTCTCCTTCAACACTTTCCGTAACTACGCATTTTCCTCCCGGATATCTCGTAGAGAAGAGAAGGAAACGGGCGGGTACTAGAAGCTCACATAGCTTTCTCCGAAAGCTGGCCCTGAGCTGCTACAAAACCTCACACCTGGCTTTCTCGTACTAGCCGCCCTCCCGTGAGCTCCCTCAACATTCCACTCAAGGCTCTCGGCGCATCTACCATCCCTCTACACCGGCTCTCTCGTTCTCGATACTTAAGGGACGGCAACGACAACAAGCAGCAGACACACCGGCTACTGAGCCAACAGATCGTGACGATGGACGACGGAAGGCACCCTCGCATCACCACCTCATTTCTCCTCGCCAACTTGCACTGCCCATCATGCGTCTCCTCCATCCAGCAGGCTCTCCGGGAGTCGTCTAGTCACGATGTCATCTGGGTCTCACCAAACATTGTCACCTCCGTCGTCACCATTGAACACAGACACACGTCAACCCCCGATATCACCATCCGGTGCATGGCCAAGTCACTTCAAGATGCCGGCTTCGAGATTTGCGGTGTCACGACCACGGCTGCCACCGAATTTGACATGGACACCATCACCTTCACTCAGCCTGATTCTGGTGTCATGAACAACGCTCACAACGGCGGCGCCCTTGATGGCCTGCTCTCCTTCGCCCCGAGGTGGTCTTCTGATTCACCCGAGGCTCAGCGAGAAGCCCATCTTCTCAACTGCAAGCAATGCCGTGATTCAGAGGACAGCGGTGCTTCAACTGCAGACCTCTTGAACTCACACGTCAACAGTGTGCGGAGCTCGCTGTACAATGGTCTCGACAGTGTCACAGCTATGGCATCAGGAGGCTCAAAATGGAGAGTTTCCCTCTCTGTTGCCGGTATGACCTGCGCGTCCTGCGTCAATACCATCAGCGAGGAACTCAACAAACAGGAGTGGATCGACAATGCCACCGTCAACCTGGTCACCAACAGTGCCACCGTCGATATTAGAGACAAGTCAAACGCTTCAAGGGTTGCGGAAGCCATTGAAGACATGGGTTACGATGCCAGTCTGGATAGCGTCACGGAATGCGCAGAGTCAGGCGATGAATCCACTGGAGACGAAGGCGACGAAAAGAAATGGCGAGCAACTGTGGCGATTGGCGGCATGACTTGCGCCTCTTGCGCCAACACCATCACTGAACAGCTGAACAAGAAGGACTACGTCTCCAACGTTGCAGTCAACCTGGTAGCTAACAATGCTACCATCGACTTTATCGTTGAAGGCAAGCAAGACGACATTGTTCAGTCTATCGAAGATATGGGCTACGATGCGATACTGGACAGAGTATCAAGGGTCAAGGCTGAGAACAAGGGCGCGCAAGAGAGGACAGTCCAAATCTCAATCAAGGGCCTCTACTGTCAACATTGTCCCAGTCGAGTAACGCACTCTCTCACTTCCTTCACGCACCGGCTCAAGGTCATTTCCAAACCCACTCACGAGAAGCCACTCGTTACCGTCAAGTACACGCCCAGCGCGCCTTCATTCACCATTCGGCAAATTTTATCCGCCATCGATGCCGCCGATCCCGCCTTCAAAGCATCGATTTACCACCCGCCTAGTCTCGAGGAGCGTTCCAAACTCATTACACAAAAGCACCAGCAGCAGCTCCTCAGACGAGTTTATTTGACGTTTATCATCACCATCCCGACTTTCATCATTGGTATCGTCTACATGAGTCTCGTCCCCGACACGGACAAGGGCAAGCATTACCTCATGAAGCCGTGGACCATGGGCATCAATCGAGCCCAAATCGCCCTGTTCATTCTCGCAACGCCAGTATACTTCTTTGGTGCCGACGTCTTCCACAGCAGAGCCATCAAGGAAATTAGAAACCTGTGGCGCCGGGGCAGCAAGACGCCCATCCTTCGTCGGTTCTACAAGTTTGGAAGCATGAATATGCTCATGTCCCTGGGAACGACGATCGCCTACGTTTCCTCCATTGGTCAGATGATCGCTGCCGCCATCAACCGGCCTGCAAAAGTTGACGACACGCAATTCTACTTTGACTCCGTTGTCTTCCTGACCCTTTTCTTGCTCCTCGGCCGCCTTATCGAGTCGTACAGCAAGTCAAAGACTGGCGATGCGGTCGAGATGCTGGGCAAGCTGCGACCTACCACGGCTATCCTCGTCACCAAGGACTCTATTGGTAAGACCACCGACTCCATCGTTGGCGTGGACATGCTCGAGTTCGGAGACGTTGTGCGCGTGCCTCACGGTGCTTCCCCCGCCGCAGATGGGATCGTGGTACAGGGAGAGGGCAGCTTCGACGAGTCCAGCTTGACGGGCGAGTCTCGTCTCATCAAGAAGGTACCCGGCGACGAGGTCCACGCTGGCACGGTCAACAAAGATTCTGCTATTCAGGTACGCATCACAGGTGCGGCGGGTGCCTCCATGCTGGACCGGATCGTCTCTATTGTCAGAGAGGGCCAGACGAAGAGGGCACCCATGGAGCGTGTCGCCGACGTGCTCACGGCCTACTTTGTCCCCATCATCACCCTGATTGCCGTCATCACATTCTTCACCTGGCTGGTTCTCGGCTACACTGGCGTTCTCCCTAGAGAATACCTCGATGCGGAGGGTAGCTGGGCTGGCTTTGCACTGCAATTCGCCATCGCCGTCTTCGTCGTCGCCTGCCCCTGCGGTCTCGCTCTCGCAGCCCCCACCGCCATCTTTGTCGGCGGCGGTCTCGCGGCTAAGCACGGCATCCTCGCCAAGGGAGGAGGCGAGGCATTCGAAAAGGCCAGCAACGTGGACGTGGTCGTATTCGACAAGACGGGCACCCTTACCGTCGGTGGCGAGCCAAAGGTTACAGACGCGAGGCTCTACCTCGAGGGGAGCAAACTCGAGCCCAGCATGGTCCTGGCCACTCTGCGAGCGATTGAGGAGAACAGCAGTCACCCTGTGGCCAAGGCGATTGTGTCCTACTGCACCTCGCAGACCGAGGCCTGGGTCGACGTCGACAGCCTCCAGGAACTGCCGGGCAAGGGCATGAAGGCCACGAACCGCGGGGCGAAGCCCGACGAGGCGTTTGACATGATTGTCGGCAACGAGTCCCTGATGCGCGATCACGCCGTCCTTTTTGACGAAGGCGTGTCGTCTCAACTCCAGAAATGGAAGAGCGAGGCGAAATCGGTCGCCTTGGTCGCTACCAGACCTACAGCTTCTACCACCCCGTCAGAAGACCACCCCTGGACCCTCGTCGCCGCGCTCTCCATCGCAGACCCCATCCGGCCCGAGGCGATCCGCATCATCAAGGCCCTCCACGAGCAAGGCACCCGCGTGTGGATGCTCTCGGGCGACAACGTCGTGACCGCCAAAGCCGTCGCGGACCTGGTGGGCATCGACCCGGACAACGTGCTCGCCGAGGTCCTCCCCTGGGAAAAGGCGGACAAGATCACCTACCTGCAATCCGTCCTCAAGGCGCGGGCCGGCAGGTACGGAGATGACGAGCACACGGGGAAGCGCGCCATGGTGGCCATGGTAGGCGACGGCATCAACGACTCGCCCGCGCTGACGAAAGCGGACGTGGGCATCGCCATCGGCAGCGGTAGTGATGTGGCCATTTCGAGCGCCGACTTTGTGCTGGTGACGAGCGACCTCCGCGCCGTGGTGACGCTACTCGCGCTCAGCCGGACCGTGTTCCGGCGGATCAAGGTGAATTTTGGGTGGGCCGTCATCTACAACCTGCTGGCGATCCCCATTGCTGCCGGGTGTCTGTACCCGATTGTTGTGAATGGCGGGCGGCAGCACGTGCGGCTGGATCCCGTGTGGGCCAGTCTCGCCATGGCGCTGTCTAGTATCAGTGTTGTGCTGAGTTCGTTGGCGTTGAGGAGTAAGGTGCCGTGGCTTGGGTTCCGGGCGAAGAAGATTGAGTAGATGGAGGTTTGTTATGGGAAGAGGAGAGGAGGTGATGGGTTGGTGGTTGTGCCGTGTATTACCACTTTTTTTTTTTTTTTGTTTTATTAGAGGATACCTGTATGCTATATAGAGAAGAGCATCATTGGGCATTATTGAAGAGAATTCTTGAACATTACGTGACGCCTTACACGATTGGTGTCTCAAACATGTACGCATTTCGTTCCATGATTCCCAAGTCTTATCTGAAGACGCCAATTGCTACATTCTCATAACAGAGGTATTGAGCTAAGCAATGGTTACAATTCAATGCCAAATTTTCTTCATTTGCTATATACCATTGTTGGTGTGTCCACGGCAATCCAAAGGCGACATTACGCCTGAAAGATCAAGGTATCAAGAACTTTACACGGCTTGCTATGGACCTCATCTTGGAGCGGTTTGGGCATGGCAGGACTTTGATGAACGTCCCGCTCTCCCTCTGTAAAGGATGGACAGCAATTAAAGTGGAGACCGGGGTGTCCGAAAACGGCAAACAGAGGTGGTTATGGAACGGCAGGTATAAGATTCCAATTGCAGCTTATAGAATTTAAATCATTCGTTCATTTCATTCTAACTCAGTATTATCTTCAACGTCCTTGGATCAATTCCATAGTCGTTCGATTCAAAAGGCCATGACATATGAGGCACGACGTTCACTGAGCACGGAGATGGGGTGTAGTTGAATGGTGACGACGGAGAGCGGAAGCCGATGCCGTGACCGAGCGGATACCGCGTCCTCCGATTGCCGGACAGGCCGACCGACAGCCTGGAATCAATGACACGGGCAGTGACAAGCCCGCCACCGACGAATGTTACAATAAAAAAAAATTGGTCAGAATCTGGGGCGAAAGGTACCGCGAAAGAAGAGGCTTGCATTTCCGGATGGTCGAGCACGCAATTCTGAGCCCAGACCAAAGAGTGCGGATTTGGTAAGCAGGGAAGTCGAGGAAGGGACATCGAGTGGATCAGAAATGGTGCAATGTGGGGCCGTTGCAGATGGGTCCCGGTCGCTCATTGGCGCGCGATGGCGCAATTGTCCCCTAGTCGCAATTCTCCAAGCTTCAACAATTTCCAAACGCCGAGTTTCGCACGCGGACAAGCAGCAGCAGCACCACCACCACCACCAAGACCAAGCAGACAGCAATGCAAGATGCCTGACAAATGCCCGTCTCTTATTGCCTGCTGCTGCAATCCATTATGGAGTGCGCTTCTCGGTTCCCGGTGCTAGCTAGCTAACCGTGCTTGACCCCAGGGTGAGTGCCGGCTAAAGGTTCCCCTTGCCGGTCCTGCTCTCACTTTTTTTATTATTTTTTTATATGCTCGGAACCTGTTCGGAGTCCTTCTTAGACGAGAGCCTCTCTCTCGAACTTCTTCCTCTCTTCCCTTTTCCCTCTTTCTCACGTACAAATCTCAAGGTCCTCCTAGAACGAAGAAGCTCCTTTCTTGCCTCTTCTCGTTCAGGTTGACGCAAGTGACTTGAACTTGCTCTTGAGTCTACCAATTGTCTCCCAGTAGCGACCATTCTCTTGCGAGTGGTGAGGCTCTGTCTTCTGGTCCTCCGTGTATTTTGGACCATCTTTAATCGCATATTCTTTGCTGTACTTATTCCCAATTCTTCGTCCCCAAAACCTCCCAAGATGCAGTTCAAGCAGCAAGAGAGCACCGGCTCTGCGGCCGTCGTCGACGCAAAGTCGCCGCCCTCCTCTGCCCCTCAGAAGAAGGTCTCTTCCACCCTTCCCTTTGGCCAGCCCGTGGCCCTCTCCTCCATCTCAGGTCCTACCTACGTGACGGCCCAGCTGCTCGTTCAGCAGGTCGCCTTCCTGCTCTCCGATAAGATCTTCTCCTACTCCGCTCCCACCTTTGACCTCGACGTCGCCGCAAAGGCTTGGTCGGAGGCCAAGGAGCACAACATCCACGGCGAGACCACCGACCTCATCCAGCTCCAGACAAGGACCGGCGCCGGCGCCCTCGCCCTCGGCTACATCTTCAGTCCGGACTTTGACCTGGCCAAGAGACATCTTCCCCAGACTCTGCTCGCTCCTACTCTGAGCTTGAAGAACCTCCGCGGCGCATTGGATCAGCTTAGCCTGTTGTACGGCGTGGCCTCCCCCTTCGTTGCCCACGTCGCGGCTCTCGACTACGATGCCGCAAACGGCCTCGTCTCCGACTACGACACCGCGCTGCGCACCGCTGAGGACCTTGGCCTCGGCTTGGTCGCCAGCTCCAGCGCCTACGAGACTCAGCACATGGCCCTCTTCGCGACCCTCATGGCCGCCCTGATGCCCACGCTGCACATCTACGATGGCGTCAGACTCGCCCGCGAGACCTCCCGCGTCGTTGACGCTCTCAGCCAGAGCGGCATCGCTGACCTCTACAACAACATCACCTCCGAGTCCACTGGTGTCTCTGAGAGAGCCGCGATCTCTTCCAAGGTCGCCGGCCTGTTGGACGTCTTCAACAAGCACCTCGACCCTACCGAGGACCACGAGAGCCAGCACACCGCGCTTCTGGCCACTCTCATGACCGCCCTCACCCCCAACCTGGGAGTCGAGGACGGCGTCAAGCTCGCCAAGCAGACCCTCAAGGCCTCGGATGCCCTCAACAAGAAGGGTGTCGCCGAGACCTACAAGAAGATCTCGAGCGAGGTCCAGTCCCTGAACAAGAGACTCGACGACGCCGGCAAGGTCGTCGAGCTCCTCAGACTCTTCAACAACGAGCTCGGCACCGCCTACAACCTGTTCGAGTACCACGGACACGACCAGGCCGAGGCCGTCCTCGTCGTCTTTGGCAGCGCCGAGACCCAGCTCGCCAAGCAGGTCGTCACCCGCCTGGCCGCCGAAGGCGCCAAGGTCGGCGCCATCAACGTCCGCGTCTACCGCCCCTTTGTCGAGGAGGCCTTCCTCGCCAGCATCCCCGCCTCCGCCAGGACCATTTCCGTCCTCGGCCAGGTCAAGGACGAGCTCTCCGTTAGCGATGCATCCCTGCAGTCTGCGCTTTACACCGACGTCCTGGCCTCCGTTTCCTTCTCCGGAAAGTGGCGCCAGGACCCCACCGTCTCGGACGTCAAGTACTCCGCCTCCGAGGCCCTGACGCCCCAGACCGTCGCCGACATCTTTGGCAAGCTCCTCAGCGCCGAGTCCGAGTCCAAGCCCTTCCCCGCCTTGGTCCAGGCGCACCAGTACACCTTCTGGGACGTTGACAACTCTGTCGCCGTCGACTCTCCGGCCGTCGTCAGCAACTTGCTCTCCCGCGAGTCTACCAGCAACGTCTACGTCCACGAGTCCTTCGACAACCTGCTCCAGGGCGGTATCGTCCGCACCGACATCCGCAGCTCCAAGAAGGCCATCGAAGCGCCCTACGCTGTCGAGGAGGCCGATGTCGTTGCTGTCGGTGAGGAGAAGCTCCTCAAGGATCTCAATATCATCGAGAGCGTCAAGGCTGGTGGCAAGCTTCTCCTGAACCTCCCTACCTTCAAGGAGGAGGACCTCGAGAAGCGCCTCTCCCCCGTCGTGCGCAAGCAGATCCAGGACAAGTCCATCGAGCTCTACATCCTCGACGCCTCCGCCTTTGCCGAGAAGGAGCCCCAGGCCGTCAAGGTCCTCTTGGAGTTCGCCTTCCTCCAGATCGCCCGCTCCGACATCACCGTTGAGGAGGTCGCCAAGCTTGCCCTACCCGAGCGCTTCTCCAGCACCCTCGTCGAGACCCAGGAGGCCCTCGGCCAGGCCTTGCGCAAGGTCGAGTCCCAGTCCGCCTGGGCCGAGCTGCCCGAGGACGTCGTCGCCAGCCCCCTGCCTGCCACCATCAAGCCCAACAGCTTCGTCGGCTTCGACAAGGAGGAGGCCGAGGAGACCTCCCAGCTCGTCGACTGGCAGGCCGCGGCCAAGGGCCTCGCCTTCAAGGAGGCTTACGGCACCCAGGGCGCTCTCCGCCCGGAGCTGCCCGTCAAGACCCACACCATCACCGTCAAGGAGAACCGCCGCCTCACGCCCGGCAACTACGACCGCAACATCTTCCACATCGAGTTCGACCTCGGCGACTCTGGTCTCACCTACGACATTGGCGAAGCCCTCGGCATCCACGCCGAGAACGACCACGAGGAGGTCACCGCCTTCATCAAGTGGTACGGCCTCGACCCCGAGGCCCTCGTCCAGGTGCCCGCCCGCGAGGACAACGCCGCCTTCGAGACCCGCACCGTCTACCAGTCCCTCAAGCAGAACATTGACGTCCTCGGCAAGCCCCCCAAGCGCTTCTACGAGGCCCTCTCCGAGTTCGCCGCCGACGAGCGCGAAAAGGCCGTCCTCGCCAGCCTCGGTGGCGCAGAGGGCGCCGCCGACTTCAAGAAGCGCTCCGAGGTCGACTTTGTCACCTACGTCGACATCCTCCAGGAGTTCCCCTCGGCCCGCCCGTGCTTCCACGACCTCGTCCGCATCATCGCCCCGCTCAAGCGCCGCGAGTACTCCATCGCCTCCGCCCAGGCCGTGACCCCGACCTCGGTCGCCCTCATGATCGTCGTCGTCGACTGGGTCGACCCCCTCGGCCGCAACCGCTTCGGCCACGCGACCCGCTACCTCTCCGCCCTCCCCGTCGGCGCCACCGTCGTCGCCTCCGTCAAGCCCTCCGTCATGAAGCTCCCCACCTCCTCCAAGGCGCCCCTCATCATGGCCGGTCTCGGTACCGGTCTGGCGCCCTTCCGCGCCTTCGTGCAGTACCGCGCCCTGCAAAAGTCGCGCGGCGAGGAAATCGGCTCCATCCTGCTCTACCTCGGCTCCCGCCACCAGCGCGAGGAGTATTTGTACGGCGAGGAGTGGGAGGCCTACGTCGACGCGGGCGTCATCACGCACCTCGGCGCCGCGTTCTCGCGCGACCAGCCGCGCAAGATTTATATCCAGGACCGCATGCGCGAGTCCATGCGCGATGTTGTGCAGTCGTACATTCGCGACGAGGGCAGCTTCTACCTGTGCGGTCCTACGTGGCCTGTGCCTGATGTTACGGACGTGTTGATGGAGGCTCTTAACGTCGAGGCCAAGATGAGTGGCAAGAAGGTTAATGCCCGTAACGAGATTGAGAAGCTCAAGGAGGATGGTCGCTATGTCCTCGAGGTGTACTAGCCTTTGCTTCTTACGTACTAGACATCTGTTGTCATGTCTTGTATATATCATGATACTTGAGGGGTATGGTCGTACCGAAGAGTTTCCTTGTTGCTAGCCAGCTTTCTGGATTGAGCAATTGAGTTGTATTGAACGAGCATCAGACATTTGCTACGCCTTATGCATTGTACCATTGTTCTTGTTGTGCATGTTAGAATGTGCCACACTTCGCTTTTCTACCTCCCCAGCGTAAAATAGCTTCCAACGTAACGGTCTTAGTCGTTGAAACCACGAGACACTATCATCTCCAAGCTTATACCCTACTTTGTCAATACTTTGTCAGGTCACAAGTAGGTGGGTGACACAGTAACCTGCCGCTCAATACGTCTAGTGCCATGAGCGGTATATCTAGTATATAAAGCATATGGAACGGTCAAGAGTATCATGGTGCCAAGCAAAACCCTACGTCGTTCTCGCGGACAAGATGGCAGCGGCAGGAATGATCAGTGATATGGCCGTCTTTTGACGACAGGATGCGGTCGCGGTAGGAGGTCAGGTCCATTGTTGCTACTACTAGTCGACTGCCATGATTACTAGTACTACGTTTTCGTCTTCACTCTGTGCTTATTCCTTTGGTAATATATCGCGAGAAGCCTAGGAAAGGGATGATGAGAAGGATAGTGGTGATAGGACTATATGTGAGCCGGCCATGCTACCTTTATCACCCACTTGCCAGTTCACGAGCACAACTTTCCATAGCAGACCTCACTGGTAGAAGGAGGATTCAACCGAGCCTTCAAGTCAGGCAAGAAGGTATACCAGTAGCTCCCCCCCCCCCCCCCCCCCCGTGCTTGCTAAGCGTCTCCGAGATCTTGCAGTTACTATGGTTCATTTATACCCGCAAGACCATACGTTCCCCATAACTATCTTCCGGGACCAAGAGACTTTCTCTCAAAAAACCAACAAAAACGAGGCTCGCCGTGTCTTCCTGCGCAACCCTCAACCCCAATATTGTTACTATTTCACGGCTTATACTTGCCTAACAATCGGTAGCACAACTAACCTTAAAACGGCCTCACGCCCGGGCTTTAATCAAATCAGCAGCCTATATGATCGTCAACACACGTCTCCTCTCTCAACCCCTTACACCTTCATACCTCATCTCGTCATCAGAAAACTCACCTTCAGAGCAACAGCATACACAGTCTGCTGCGTATATGCCCCCGGCAAATCAGGCATAACACTCGCATCAACAACACTCAACCCCCGAACCCCATACACCTCCAACCCCTCATCCACAACCCCTCCCAATTCCCTTGGCATCATAGCCGCCGTGCCAACAGGATGAAATGTCGTCGGGCTAATCATCCGCCTCACAGCCTCGCCCAGCGCTTCATCACTCGTCACATTCGCGCCAGGGACAGTTTCCACGGGGGCATACCGCGCTAGCGTCGAGGACTCGAGGAAATATCGCCTCGTGAAGCGGATAAACTCGATTTGTACGGCTAGATCGGTGGGGTTACTCAGTGCGCGGTAATCGACGATTGGCTCAGAAAAGAAGGGGTTTGAGGTGTTGAGGAGGATTGTGCCGCGGGAGAGCGGGTGGAGGAGGACGAAATTGCTCTCTGTTGGCGCACCGCGGAGGAAGAAGTTGTAGAATGCGGCGCCGGGGGAGCGTAGTGCTGCCGCGAGGCGGGATTGTTGGGCTGCGTAGCCTGCTAGTACGGTGCGGTCGGTGTTGGGCGGGAGAAAGGCTGAGGGGGCCTGGGATTCGTAGGCGGATGTGATGGCGTCGAAGGAGGGTGCTATTACGGGGAAGGGGAGGAATGTTGCGACGTTGCCTGCGCCTATGGTTAGAGGTCCTGGAGGATGAAGAGGTTAGTGAGGTTCGTGATGTTTGTCTTTGAGGTGAGTTTGGGAGGAAGGTCGTACCGGTTCGGTTGGCTTCGAATTCTGCTTTGGCTTCGTCGATGAAAGTTTGGTTGTTGACGAGATCGGTCATATCGGGATGAACGTCAAAGTTGGTGACTTGGTAAGAGAAGATATCAGCAAAACTCAACGTTCTTGTCTTTGAAAGGAATATTCCGAAGCTCACAGGTAAAGGTAGCCCCAGCACCAACAGGATGGTCCTGGAAGTTCTGTCCCACACCGGGCAAATCGACGACGACCTCGATCCCAGCCTTTTCAAGAAGCGCCCTCCCTCCCACGCCGCTACGCTGCAGTATCTGCGGCGTGTGGATGGATCCCGTGGCCAGGATGACTTCCTTCCGGGCTTTGACGATCCGCGCGCCCTTGGCGGTGGTGGAGTTTGCCTCGACGTAAGAGACGCCGACCGCCGTCTGGGTCTGGCTGTCGCCGTCAAAAAGGATCTTGAGCACCTTGTGCCCGGTGATCGTCTCGTAGTTATCCCGCGCGGCCTCGATGCCGTCCCAGTGGCCTCGTCTGGCCATGGAGCGCGTCACGGTGGCTGGGTCGAAGGAGGTTGGGTACCAGAAGACGCCTGGGTCGCCGGCGCCTGAATCGGCGGGGAAGTCGACGCCTTTGATCTCTTTGAAGGCTTCAACTTCGGTCTCTGTGGTGAGTTAAGTATCATTAGCATGATGTAGTATTATGAATCAGTGGGGAAAATCCAAGGGGAGGAGATGGATACTCAGCATAGGCCAGTGGAAGGTCGGAAAGGAAGCGTGAATGCCGGAGGAGTTGCCCCAGTAGCTCGCGTCGTACTTGATGTCGAACTGCTCGGTCAGCTCAGGGGTAGGAGGGTGGAAGTTCCATGCCTAAGTATGAATAATACGTCAGTAACAGCCTCTCAGGGGTCCGCATGATAATTTGGGAGTATTAATCACCTTCTTAAAGTATGGCAGCAAGCCATCCCAACTCCACTCCGATTCATTGCTAAAGTAGGACCCCCATCTGTCGTAGTCCTCCTTCTGGCCGCGATGGACCTGCATGGCGTTGACGCCCGTCGAACCACCGAGCATGACGCCGCCAATGACGTTGATTTTGCGGCCGTTGAGGCCTTCTTGGGGCACGGAGGAGAAGTTGAAGGTGTGGGACTGGTTGCGCCAGGATAAGAGGCCCGTCGTGACGGTGTTTACCTGAGACGAGTTGTCTTTGGCTGGAGTGTTAGTCATACACATATATTCTCTAAAGACGTAGTTCTGGAGAAAAGTGCAAGGCTTACCGAATAAACCGAGCTCAATCACCAGAACCGTATCTTGCCAGGGACAGAGTTAGCAAATTGTGGTTGCTACCTGTTCTGCGGTGAGCTTACGCTCGCCGCTCTCAGTCAATCGATCAGCGACTGTCAGGCCGGAGGTGCCTCCTCCAACAATAACGTAGTCGTACTCGGATTTGACGTCACAAGCTCTGGGAAGAATTCTCGAGTGAGCGATGGATCGGGGGATACTTGATGATATCCCTCCCGGGATACTCATCAACAAGAGACCCAAGGCGGCCATAGAGGCAGAGATCTTTGGCATTTTGAGGCGTCTTTTCTAATTTTCAGACAGAATTGAGACACGGGATGAAGGAGAAGAGAGTAACACGGTTGCTATATGGCCAAGTTTCCCTCTATTTATATTGCTTCGTTCAAGAAGCCTTTGCCTGCAGAGTGAGAGGCCTATGCGAGGTAAGCTTGGCGTTTTCGCCGCCCGTGATGACCTCTGCCACTCTTTACGCCATCGACGATACGTGTTTGCGTCAAAACACTGTGAGTGCCATTCAGTTGCGATTGCTGCTTCTGGAGCGCCAACGTAGCAGCGCATCATGTCCTGCAGCCGTCGTCGAGAGCCTTACTCACGCGGCTTTGGCTACCTACCATCTCCGGCTTCACTTCATTCCAAAAGCCCATCCCAGCGCGCTTCACGCTGATTATCTTGAATACCGTGAGCTCTTCTTATCTCCAAGCATCGCAATCGAAGACAGCAAGATCACGACCCAACTTGGATTCCACAGATCTTAGATGGACTCCATTCCTGAGGAAGGGAAAACACGGAGAAGGGACTCAAGTTGTTGCTCTCGTTGACCAGCTGCAGCTAGCCTCATCGCAGGCCATTACCCCTCATCTCGACACCTTTCTTGGTCAATAGCATGCCTCGTCTTGCATGGCAAGCCGCATCTTCCATGTACGCGGAAACGCGGGAAGGACTGCCCAGACTGTCGGGTAAAGTCGAGGCGTGCCCGAATAGAACGGTCCAGGCGAGGGACGAAATCTCATAAGTCGACAAAGTGAGCCTGAAGTCAGGTTCAGAATCTCATCTGAGGGAAACACTCACACGCGAGGTTGCGTGCCAGTGGCGCAGCCTCTGCACGCATCGGGTCACGCCATACGTTTTCTCTCGTCTTTCCAGAGCGGGGAAGCTGACCGGGACGATGCGGGCGCCTGGAGCCCTCCCCTACTTACTGCTATTACGTCCTGACTGGTAGACGCTGTGTTCTTTTCTCATTCGCCTAATCCGGTCGTCGAGTCGGGGTTGTTAAAATATCGCCAATAAAGTGTCGTGGTCTAGACATGACTAACACCGAGGTAGATTTCTGGTTGCAGATTATCAAACAAAAGTACGACCTTGTTCCTGAGTCAGAAGATAGAGTACATAGTTATTATATTCAGTCTTGCTAGGTTCTTGTCCCGATCTGCTACGTGTAAGTAAGACGCCAAGTATCACGCTCATCTTGATATTTGCTACATACACAATGAAGGGAGCACTGCAAGCATGGCTACTAACACCAGAATCTCTTCTATGAAGTCATGGTAGTATCTTAGAGTAGTAGGAATAGCGACCTAGAAAGGGCAGACGCAGAACGGTCCATAGAAAATGTCTTCCTCCTAGACTCACCTAGAGGGCGACCGCACCCGGCATCTATCTGGCATAAAAGACAACCAGCCCTCCTTATAGCAAACAGTATAATTTTTTTAAATAGGTTATGTCATTCCGAAGAACGTATAAGACCACATTCAAATACACAAATAACACCGTAAAAGGCCTCGAGAGGGTGAACCTACGACATCTCCCTTAACACTGCCCAGGAGCCTTCCTGAGAACCAACCCTTCACACATCCAGGGGAGTAGATGTACAGAAAGTTTCCCAGACGAATTTGAAGCCAGCCCTCGGATCATGAGTGGGTACTCAGGGACGCACTTACCATCTCGCTCCTTCCCTCTACATGCCTTCCTTCCTCAACCTACCTTACTTAAGGGATCTAATCATCACTCCTGTTACCAGCACCCACTCCCAAGTGTTCAATGCTTCAGTATTGAGCATTTGGCCGAGTGGTATCGGCTCTGACGCAGAGTCGATATAAAACAAATACTCCAATGAAGCCTTGCTGGTCCGAGGGGCGCGCTGTTCGAATCCGGACAGGGGCGTGAATTATAGGGTCAGTATCCCCCCTCCTTCCTTCTAAATTTTTTTTTTTTCAATTGTGATGAACCTAAATTTGGGCACTGAGCAGCCAGTAAAGTATTTACGATTTGTAGACCGTTAATGCTGGATGAGCCGAACTGGAAAAATTAAATGTCAACAAAAGTTCCAAACCCGTCATCTGGAGAGTAGTTATAATCGAGATGCCACCTGACAACTGGAAATGCAACAACACCTTCTCGGTCCTCAATGCAGGAAGACCAACCTGGAAAAATCATGTTTTTGATGAATTTCAAGATGGACCGGGATATATGGAAGAAAGGAGTGAAGCTTATCGTGCGCTCTCCAGACTATTGCGATCACGTCACGGAATACTTCCAGTTCGGACCCCCTGATGGCGATATCGACCACACCACGATCAAGAAGTAAAGGTCACCAACCGCAAATCAAAATCGCCCATCTCATTTCATTAATATCATTAGATCTAACTTCTGCCTGAAGTGAAGTGGAACTGAGTCTAGTCAAGTCAACAACTCCACGGGAGGGGGGAGTGGCTGTGCACCACCCAAGCCCCTTTTCCAAAATGTCGCCCCCCCTACTTACTAGGTAGGCAAAGAGAGAACCATCACTTTGAAACTCCATCTTAGCGTTGGTATTAATCATTGGAGATTATGGAACTTTTGATTTTTCCTACGAGGATGGTATGTCCTTGTTTGAGATGGACAAAATCATGTTCATTCACGGAGAGGTGGCCAGCCATAGTCTGCCTTGCTCGATGCCCTATACAAGCCCCATCGCAGAATCCACTACCATCATAACGTCCGGTGATTTGGGTACGAGATCGGCCCGAGTCTAAGATCGTATCGTAGTTTTGGCAGATTCCCGATGCGATGGGGTTGACCTAGGTAGAAAGCCTCGCAGGAAAGTCGGTATCATGAAGCCCCCTTGACCTCTTACACGAGGTCACAATTAGCCCAGTAGGAATCACAGCCTCATCGACCTCGAGCATGACCACCTCTGGCGGGGTATATGAGAGCAATTTCTGATACAAGGCGTCTCAAGCTCTACACTGGACCCATCCCACAGACCTCTCGGCACTTCAAAATACCGTACGGTACATTCCCCTTGACCCAGAGGCGGTGTAACTTAGCCTCATGACTAGCAAATCTCCATGGACCATCTCATCGTCACGAAAGGAGACACCGCCACCAAAACGGCCTGGTCTAGATTGTCAAAGGGATAAAATATTGTTAGTATCTGAAAACATTGCATATGGTACCTCGGGAGTTTTGACCACCGTCGGCCTCATGCGGCTTGTGGGCTGCTCATCCCGGGGGCATAACGAGCAGGAGAATACGAATTCACACTAAAGAAGTAGAAAAACTGTTTGTGATGGGGATTCATGTACAATATCTTTGGAAACAATGTACAACTTTTGTATGTACTGCGACAAGTCCCTGAAGTCGAGCAGAGCTAGGCTTTACCCCTGCCCCCTCCCCTAAAACAACATCACCTTCTTTACTGCACAGTGAACCCGGCGTCGATGGGGTACGTGGCATACGACCAAGGCACAGCGCGCTGAAGGAGCTGGTAATCGAAGCCGTCGCCGCCGCCGCTGACGTACAGGAACTTTGTGAAGGCGGCCGAGGCGGCATAGGTAAAAGGCACGTTGGCAGGCACGAAGACGACGTCGCCCTGGATCAGCGTGACGGCGTCGTACCCCTCGACGGAGACCTCGAGGGCACCCTCCTCGAGCTGGAAGGCCAGGGGCTGGGCGAGGTTCGCCTTGGTGGCGGTCTGGTTGGACAGCAGGGGGCTCAGGGTGACGGTGCCCATAGTGAAGTTGCTGGCCGTCTGGTTGGCCGTCGCGAAGGGGGCGACGAGGTGGTAGACGCCGCCGTCGGCGTTGAGGTACTTGGGGCCGCGGTTCTTTGCGACAAAGTTGGGGGTGACGGCGTCGAGGGCGAGGGTGTTGGACGCCGTGTGCCAGGTGCTCGCGGTCGCGCCGCCCGCGCTGCCGTTGGCGAGGTCGCGGCGGGGGTTGAAGTCGAGCTGGGCGTAGACGTCAAAGGCCTCGAGGGCGGAGATGAGGGCCGGGTCGGAGCCGGAGGAGGAGCCGTTGGAGGCGGCGGGGACGAACTCGGAGCCCGTGGGGGAGACGAAATCCGAGTTGGCGATGGCGATGAAGAGCTCCTCGAAGCCGCCGGGCTGGATGACGCCCGTGAGCTGGGTGTCCGGGTCGGTGATCTGGAAGGTGTGGACCGTGTTGAGGGGCACGGCGCCGTAGTCGCCGGGGGTGAGAACGCGGGCCTGCTCGCCGGAGCTGTTGGTCTGGGCCCACAGCTGGAACTGGCCCTTTGTGCAGTAGAAGTTCTCGTGTGGGCCTTGTGGATGTGGGGGAGGACGCCCAGGTCGGACGAGTCCGGGGCATTGGTCTGCATCAGGGTGAAGGCGCCGGCGGAGGAGTTGCCCGTGACGGAGAAGCGGTAGACCTGCTCGCCGACGGCGACGGCACGGCCGGCCCCCTTGCGGAGGGCGTAGGGCTGCGAGGTCTCAGGGGCCTGGTCGACAAGGAGGCTCTTTCCGGTGCTCTTGGCCTGCTGCTTGAAGGAGTGACCCTGAGGAGCCGCCACCACGAGGGGGAGACCTGCTGCGAGCGTTGAGAATCTCATGTTGGCGAGTTGGTGAACTTGGACTTTTGTTTACAAGTTTGTCTAACGAACGACGAGTTCCAAGATGGCACACAAGCTGGATGGACGAGCAAGGAAGGAGATAACACCACCTCAGGGGAAACAATCGGAACTTATAGCAGCATGGGAGCAAACGAACCAACGCTACGGCCGGGCATGAAGATCCTCGCTCGGTGTCCGAGCCGTTGCCCCCCTTAGGAAGACCCCATGGCGGGATTTTCACCCAGTGTAACCCTTGCCGCATGTCATTGCTTGTCCCTGATCTGAACAGGGACACCGAGCTTCCAGGTCAAGCTACATACTCCGCTTGTCCACTGACTAACATGTTTCTTGTGGTGTTAACATGGAAACGGCCTTCTTCTTCGATCTAGAATGGCTCCATCTCGTACCCATTCGACCCGCTGTTCATTCCATTTGAAGAACCAAGCGCCAGGGATCGCGGGTATCTTGCATGCATGACGCAAACCAGGGCGAAGATGAGCTGAAGATAGCATCGACAAATGGAAGCACCGAAGGAGAGACCGAATGGAACCGGACACTATAACGGAGGTGGCATGTGGGTTGGCGTACGTATGTATCCCGATGATTAGAAGGAGGTGTGTACCACTCGAGTATGGGTCTCAAAGGGATTTGACGTACGTCTAGGTGGAATTCCCGAAGTTCCCTGTCAATCGGTAGACGCAAAGCCTCATGTCCACTATGAACGATTTGACTCCACCCGGGAATTCCGGACTTGAGGTGCTTCACACGTCGTATTATAGGGGAGTAGCGAAGTTGTCAGAGTATTGGAGTTGCGCAGCTCGGTCAAATTGTGGTGCCGTGAGCCGGTAATCCGTCAGACGCATCGTTCAAAAGGAGCATGTCTACTCCGTAAGCAGGATCGATATCAAGAGATGTTGTCTGCGTCCGAGCACCCCGGTGGCTTCAACACGGCCAAGTACACTTCGTTTCACGACCTTCCTGTTGAGGTCTTCCTGCTAAGCTTCTTCGCCAGGAATCAACCCAACAATCATAGCCCGAGTACTTTTCCAATCCTCTTTTCCGGTGTACGGGTGTACGACGGCGCAGCTTGGATCTTTGGGTAGCTGTAACGGCACTGCGTCTTAGGCTAGGCCAGGAAATGGAAAACAGAAGAAGGTATATTACACACAGACTTCTGCGGTCAGATCCGACGGAAGACACAGTCATGAACATTTTATTGTCGCTCATGTTCATCAGCAACCACTCGTGAGATTCCAAGGCCGTTTACGGCCGAGCGTGGCAGTGTTCACGGGGGGCTATCCGCATTTTGTACCAACTCGTCGCCAATCTTCGTTTGCAAGGAGTGAAATTGGCCATCACTTGACGACTAACTCTGAAGACTAAACACCAGAAAGTGATGTAAGCCACAACAAAATTGTATAGGGAGGATCGCTTGGTGCTGACCCATCTTGGTTGTCCCCGAGGCCAGTCTCACCCTGCCACTGGCATGGGTGTAAGCTTGATACCGGTGTGACGCAGAATCGCCCATTTACCGGGCGGCGTAGTGTACTAAGAAAATGTGTCAAAGAAAGGCAGGTGGCCTCACAGGATGTCCAACGTGAAGTCTTTGAGGCTTAACCCATGTGTGGAGCAATCAAGGGCAGGCGCTTGTCGATGTAAGCCACCGCTGCCGGGGGGTAAGGCGGCGGGTAAGGTAAGATGAGACCGTGAGGTGACCGTGTGGTGACCGTGTGGTGACCGTTGTCGGGGCCTCCGAATCTGGCCGGATCGTACCCCGTAGCTGTTGGTATGCTGTCCGTAGGTGGACGAAGGTCTACTAGCGGGAGCCAACGACGAAGCGCTATACGGAGTACATACAGCCTTGCTGCCTTGAAATAAAGTTGGCGCGGTCAAAAGGGGATTAATCGTTGTCATACCCCAACAGGGGTGCTGGGCATGTGTTGAAGATTCCAATTCTCTGGGATAGTGGGAATGGCTCGTGCGTAGAGCAGGTCCCGTATCGGGGCGTTTGCAGATCTCCAACGGTGTGGCTGCCATGTGAGTAGGTATGACCCCCTGTATCCCTATTGTAAAGTTCTAGAAGGGGGTCGCGTGAGGGGCGGGCGTGACGGCCTCATGGTTGAGATATCACGATTGCGGGTTCTCGAATGTGGACGAGGTTGGCTGCGTACCTGAGGTTCCATGGGTAAATCAGTAGCTTGGTGGTGAAGAAGAGGCCTCGAACACCGTATTCGCTTATGGGTCGGGCAAGTTGACTTTGTTGAATGGGAATAATGGAGAAAATGAATGATCCGGCAAAGGATAACCCTGAAAGAGGTGAAGGATGATGGGAAGCACTCCCGAAATGCCTGTTCGCAATGATGGCCAAATTCTTTGTCGTTTGTGGTGAGTGACACGTGAGACAAGGCAAATCGAAATCCCGTGAGCTCCAACGACTGTACCTGACCAGAAAGTTCGAAACAGCAACCTGGATGTCTCCACCTGCCAAACGAACCTGTCAGATAGCAAGGAAAAGATTGGCCAAACAACGAAAGTCTGGTCCTGCCGTCTTAGGTTCCAACAGTCCAAGAGAAATGGGTAAAACCAAGGCGGAAGAAGGAAGGGAGTTGGGAGGTAGCTTCTTTGCTGAGGTACCTACTTACCTTAGAACGCCTGCGTGTCAGCCTGTGGAGGCCCATTCATTGGCCCAGTCGGCAGAAGAACTGCGCATGTGGCTTGGAGGCCGAGCTAAGCCGGTTTGGGTACAACTTTCTCGTCTAGTTGGTAAGGTAGGCAGCTCCCTCCTGCCCCTCATTCAATGTGGGAGTTTCTCCCAGCCCACCTTACTTACCTCCGTCCATCTGTGCCGCCTCTCTGGGTCTGGGTCGCAGCATTGCCAGCCTGCCACTGCCTGGCCTAGGATCTCGTAGACGGTAGGAGCGCTCACCTTTGAATGGTGGTTCCAGCTGAGCTGGAAACCGCCGCATGTCACTTTCCTTACCTGAGGCCAAGCATGAGACCTCCTCCGAGCTAAAGGTACAGCCGGGGCGCTTGTTGGTACCGCAAACAAACGTACCTTCTTACTACTTTGCTTGTCATCGCACTACCTCACCCAGGGTAGACAATTTCCACTTCCCAAGGCTCAATAAAGGGGATTGAAAAAGGACCCATGATGATCGTCAGAGCTGCCGAGGAGCTTTGCGCATTCAATTAAATTGACTTTCGTCTCCCTGCGATCGTGGATCCTCGAAACACGGCGATAGAACCTCCCGACAAAGCAACACCTGCCTCTTGTGTACCGCCGATTTACTGCCTGGCCGCATTTCTGCCATCCCAGCTTTACCCGGCAGGGCACTTCAAAGAACAATCTCTTTATTCACTTCTCCCTACAGTCTCATGGGCAGCCTGTGCTCAAACATTGAAAAGGACGATGCACCTGGCGAGAAGGATTGTCAGGGTAGAAGGGACACCAATGCGAATACCATCATCACACGACTCTCATCCAAAAGGCTGCGGAAGCTTCGACGTCTCAACCATCACACTCATCACCACAGACACCAAGAAGACATAGACATGGCCCAAAAAATGATCGAAGCTCACGATAAAGTCTTCGATGCCGTCATCAGCAACGTCTTCAAGATGACCGGCGATCGCACTGCCATTAAGGGTCGGGTAAATACCATACTCGATCAACCCCCCGGCCCAAACTTTGATACAGAAGCCGATTACGTTCGCCAAAGAGAGGAGATCTTGAAGCGCGAGAATACATTATCATTTGATTTCCGCGCAAAGACACTGGCATCAAAGAAGGAGCAGAGGGCTAACGCCATCATTCAAAAACTCAAGGTAAAGGACAAGGAGGAGGTGTATGACAAGGCTGAGCCAAGGCAAGGACGGGGTGGTCAGAACCATCCGCGGTTTGCTGCTGACCATTTCTTGTCAAACGTCGACTTGATCAACCAGACGAGCCTATTCCGAGTCGCCGTCAAGATGCCAAAGGGAGCACATCTCCATATCCATTTCAACGCTTGCTTGCAGCCTCATGTATTGTTGGGCATCGCCGCGACCATGTCCCGCATGTTTATCAATAGCGATTTGTCCTTGGCGCCGAGCGCCGCAAAGACTAACCTTCAACGTTGTGAAATCCAGTTTTCCATCTTAGCGGCTGGAAAGGAGAAGGGCAGTGAGGGAAACCTCTTCGATGCCGACTACGCCGACGACAGGGACCGGCCAAGGAAAATGATGAAATACTCGGATTTCATCCTCCAGTTTCCTAAACACTACAACGGCATGGAGGCTGAGGAGTGGCTCACAACAAAACTTGTCTTCCACGAGGATGAAGCACACAACGAGCTTCAAACAGTCCAGGGAGCATGGGAGAAGTTCAACGGCCGGACGCGGATGATGAAGGGACTCTTCAACTATGAGAAGGCCTACAGAGAATACACACGAGGCATTCTTGAAGATTTTGTCCGCGACAACATTCAGTATGCCGAGATTCGGCCTAACTTCATGAAGACAAATCAACTCTGGAGCAACGACGGTACGCAGCAAATCGGCAACGAAGGTATCATGGAGATAATTATCGACGAGTACAAAAAGTTTCAGAAGGAGACCAAAGACTACTTTGGCGGGCTGAAGGTCATCTACTGCACCCCCAGGTCCTTTCCCAAGGAGACGGTGGCATTTGCGCTCGATGAGTGTCTCAGGTTCAAGCAAAAATGGCCCGAGTGGATTGCTGGTGAGTCAATGAGCGCATACATCTAGTTAACGCATACATCTTGTCAGCAGACAACTAACGGGAACAGGATTCGATCTGGTCGGCGAAGAATCACAGGGTCACCCTTTACGATATTTCATAGAAGAATTCCTTGCCTTCAGGAAGAAATGCGAAGAAGCTGTCCCTAAAGTCGATATTCCATTCCTCTTTCACTGCGGAGAGACAACAGATATTGGCAACGAAACGGACGGCAATCTTGTGGATGCCCTTTTGCTCAACTCAAAGCGCATCGGCCACGGGTTTGCTCTGGCCAGGCACCCCTATATCATGGAGCATATGAAGAAAAGGGGTATCTGCCTCGAGGTGTGCCCAATTTCCAACGAGGAGCTTGGTCTCACACCCCGAATTGCGGGTCACTCAATGTACAATTTGCTCGCCAACAACGTACACTGCACATTAAACTCGGATAACGGAACAATATTCAGGTATGTATATTGCTCATTCGGAAGCGGGCCACAATATAGCATGAAGCTAACCAGTAACCACGCAGATCAACTCTTTCGCATGATTTCTATCAAGCGATGGTGGGTAAGACGGACATGACCTTGTACGGCTGGCGACAGCTCATTGAGTGGAGTCTAGAGCACTCTTGCATGTCAAAAGGCGAGCTCAAGAAAGTGCGGGAGGAATGGGAGAACCGTTGGGGGCAGTTTTTGGACTGGATTCTTACTGAGTTCAAGGAGTTGGAGTGAGAAACCTCAAAGTAGAGACCTGGATGGAGCATATATGCTCTTTGCCCGGCTTTTCCTTGGTAAATGTTGAGAGATACCATGAGACAAAGATAGGGAAGGTTTTAGAAGATTTTAACGATGAATGTCTTATGATATCGGAAGAGCAATACTATTCATGCCTGTATCAAAAACTGGCACATGAAGTTGGCTCTTGCAGTGCCCGCTGGAAACGTAGACCAGTTGGTGACGATGCCGACATTCCGAAAAGAGAGAAGCAATCGCATAACATGCCCCGAGGCCAGAATATACGGCCTTTTACCTACTACAGCAAGAGTGGACCCTGTAGTCCTGTGACCTGATGTATCATTTGTGCCTACTGCGTCACTCATAGAACAAACTTCAAAGTTGGGGGCCGCATCGTGGGTGTGAACAGTCTTGGCGTCAGCCGCAACAACGGGCCGTTCCTCTTTCTCTTTGATTTTCCTTTGCCACACAATCCGTTTCTTCTAAATAAAGGCATGTGTGTAAACACGTTACTTCCTAATGACGTCTCGGCCGAGTCCTCATTTCTTTGATATCAAACTCAACCTTCAACTTGGGCCAGGGCCCGGTGCCAGCCCGAAATTAGGCTTTTAAGGTTAGTTGGCAGTGGGCCAGTCCCCCCCGCCATCCATTCGATGATACCCCTCCTCATCTCCTCCCCCTCTGCCCAGCCAAGAACCAGCCGCCGCGGAAGCCAACCCGATATTCACCGGGACCTCTCTTGCGCGAAGCCTTGCCTGGGCAGTTCTTTTTTGCCTCCCCCACGTGTTCATCTCATCTCATCTCTGTGTGTGTCTCTCGTATCCTAGACCATTCCCCTCAGCAACCCCCCGACGGCAAGCCTGCTATTCGGACATTGAAAGCTACTGCCACGAGGACGCAATGATGAGATAGTGAATACTTCGCTTTGGTATCGAGAAAGACACTCAATGGCCCAATGCTTCGAGGCGGAGGATACCGGCACGGTTACCTACCAAACATCGATCAGGCTGTAGCTTTGGCTCGTTATCTTAGCCCACTGCGCCACCGGACCTCTGTGTCACCAGTCTCAGCCTGATCTGTGTGAGGGGAACTTTGCCGGTCCAACGAGTGTTAAACCAATGCCTGTTGTCTGGTACCTGGACGTGTACATTACAGTCAAGTACCTCCCCGGGTGCCTTTGACTCGGGGTCTTCTAGTACTACATTCGCTGACCACTCACCCTGAATACTAGCAGAAGCAGACCGCAAGGAGACACTGGAAATGAGATATATAAAGGAAGCGTTGAAGATGTAAAAACGTTTGATTTCTATCTACACGGCAAACGTTGCGCGGGGGCTGATCTCGAGGCTAGTGATTATGCCGCGTACCCAGCTCTCTCTGTCTCGTCTTTCCCATCCTCCCGCGAAAAAACAACCGTCATGCTCTGAGGCTAATTAATAAACGCAATGCCAAAGTGAACCGGCCCTCCCTCCCCTTTTTCTTTTCACCAAAAAGCCAGGACGCAAAAAGTTGACTTCTTTATTTCGGAATCCCAAAACTCCAAGAACCGAACGTATGTGTGTATTATCAAGAAACTACGGCTGCAAGCGAACCTTAGTCGAACTTGATGCCCTTCTTGCTGGAGATGTCAATCAGACCACCGCGGTAGCTGCCACGCTTCTTCTTGTTCTTCTCCTTGGTGAAGCCCTTGCCCTTGGTGACGATGAGATCCTCGTGGGCGCGTTGCGAGTAGTCGTTGGGAACGTACTCGTTGCTGACGAAACGGGGGTCGACGTTGACGACGTCGGGGATGCGGGAGAAGGGCTTGTTGGGCACATGCTTCTCCTTGACGTTCTTGCCGCCGCGGTTGTTGGCGCGGTAGGTCATGGGGTCGGGGGGCAGAGGCGGGTCGGCGGCCGTGGAGGTCTCGGGCTTGAGCTCGGGGGACGTCTTCTCGAGGGTTGCGGAGGAGAGGGAGGCGCTGTCGGTTGATGCCTTTTCCTTCTTGGTCTTCTTGGCCTTCTTCTTGGTGTCTTCGTCGGAGTCGGAATCCGAGTCGGAAGAGGAAGACGAGGAGTCAGAGTCGGAGCCGGATTCGGGAAGGGGCACCTTTGCGGCCTCGGAACCGTCAGAGTCGGAGTCGCTGTCGGAAGAGTCTGAGTCGGAGGAGTCAGATTCGCTGGAGCTATCCGAGCTGGAATCGGAGGAGGAGGAGTCGGAGGACGAGCTGCTGTCGTCCTTCTTGACCCTCTGCTTCTTGGCCTTGGGGGCCTCGTCCTCGGAGCTGGAGTCGGAGTCGGAGGAGTCGCTGTCGCTGCTGCTGCTGCTATCACTGCTGCTGCTGTCGGACTCGGGCGCCTTGCGCTTCAGGCTTTGCTTCGGCTTAGGCTTGGGCTTCTCATCCTCGCTCTCGCTGTCGCTGCTGGAGTCGGAATCGGAGCTAGAGCTGGAGCTCGAGCTCGAGCTGCTGTCGCTGTCGCTGTCGGCCGCAGCCGCATCGGCCATGTCGACATCCTCGCTAGAGCTGCTGTCGCTAGAGCTCTCGCTGGTGGCCGGAGCGGTGGAAGAAGTCTGCCAGGTCTGGAAGACGGTGACCAGGTTGGGCTGGGTCGCCTCCTTCTTGGAAGGCTTCCAGCCGCTCTTGGTGCGCTGTTTCTGGAAGGCCTCGTGGGCGGAGGTGAAGGCGTTCTCGGAGAGGAAGGAGCCGACGAGGTCCATCAATTGGGCGGGAGGAGCCTGCTTGGTGGAGGTGGCCTCGGCCTTGACCTTCTTCTCGGACTTCTTTTCCGCCTTGACCTTGGGCATCTTGTCTGGTTGTGCAGTCGCGGAAGCCGTGGGGGTGCTCGTGTTGTTGGTTTTTGTGGAATTATTGGAAAATAACCAAGATGGAGGCGCAGACATGTGTATTGGGCCAGAAGGTGGCTCTTATTCTTTGCAATGGCAAGAAGGAGAAGAAAAGCAAATGGAGGTTGAAAGAACCGGCGAGTCGCAAATTCCTCGGTGAGAATGGAATCGTCCGTCTTGGGTCTTCCCTCACCTAGGAAAATTTCTGTGGGATCTCTGCGCCGGCGGATCGGTGTCTCCAAAATTTTAGTGCCAGGGTCCCTGCTCGCAACTTTTTTTCCTTCCCGCCCTTTCACTTTTGCGAAAAGTTCTTATCTTATCGGTGGATATCTATCAATCTGGTTTATGCATCTATGCAGTAAGCCGCCAGTGGTAACCCGTTGCCACGCCTCGTGCCTTAGCGCTTGCATCCAAACGGCAGGGGTGGCCAGCTCATTGCCCGATCAGCGACTGCCCGTTTGTTGACTTTCGCAAAGCTGGGCGCCTAGGCTTCGACTAGCGACCGAGCGCCATCCTCTTCCTAGGAAATCCATTTGATGGTGCAGCATATCGTAAATGACGAAGGACTCTGAGTGAAAGCCTCTCTAAAGCCCAAACAACCGAATTCGAGCTCCCATAAGAAACCCGACCGCGCGACCTTCTGCGTCGCCGTCTTCTTCCCAGTCCTTTGATCTTCGCGCCTGGGGTCAGGTCAGATCAGACATCTTTCCTACATCCACCACCCCGGTTACATCGAAACACGCAGCAACAATGAACGCTACCAAACGAAAGTTCAACGCCCTTATCCAGGGTATGGGCAGATCCTCCGCATCTACGAAATCGAACGACACCACGAGCTTGCCCTCCGAATCCCCTCGTCCATCGACGACTTCCCTCCAGCCCTCCAACACGAATTCTACAAACACGAACACAACGGCCGATACCTCTGTAAAACCGAGCATGTCGATTGAAGAGGACATCTTGTTGAAGCGGCGGCGCCTGCAAGCACTGACGGAAAAGAATGCCGCTACGATCAACAGCTCCCCTTCGATTCGTGCCACGGGAGCAGGCGCATCGACGACCTTCTCCAACGTGTCGCTGAAGAAGTGGGTTCCAAGGTCTGCCAACGTGACGGAAGTCAAGCACGCCCCGAAATTTGCACCTAGCGACCGAAACGAGCTCCTGAAGAGACTGGCATCGTTCCAGGAGATCACGGACTGGACACCAAAACCCGATGCAGTGAACGAGGTCGAATGGGCGAAGAGGGGATGGGTATGCCAGGGGAAGGATCGTGTGCGGTGCACGCTCTGCAATAAGGAGCTCGTTGTGAAGCTGAACAAACGCGAAGTCGATGGCAAGGAGGTACCTGTCCTTGTGGCGTCGGATGTCGGTAGGTTCATGGTCGCCAGTCCTCGTCCCTACTCAGAACTGATTGGTGAAGCAGAGGAAGCGTTAGTAGAAAGATACTCCGATCTTATTGTCACGGCACATCTAGAGGAATGCTTATGGAGAAAACAGGGGTGCGATAGTGAGTTTGTCCAGACCCTCCTGATGAAGCGAAGAGCTAACTTTTCTAGACTCGCTACTCCGGCTATCTCTAACGAATGCTAAAATCAGTATGGAGGCTTTGCGGACACGCTATGATGAGCTCTGTGCAAGGAAACCCTTCCTCCCCTATGAGTTCAACTTGAGGCTGCCCGAGGGTCTCAATATTGACAACGTTCTCACCCAGCTGCCGGAAAACTTCTTCGCAAGCCCACCGCCAGCCAAGGACTCTCCGGATCCAAAGGAGCCAAACAGAGTCGCTTTGGCCCTGGCAATGATGGGATGGCAGGGCCTCACGAACCCCCGAATTGGCGCAGTGCCGAATTCGGCATCTTGCCACACCTGCTTGCGACGTCTCGGTCTATGGATGTTCAAGAGTAAAGAGGTCAGCACCGAAGGCGAGATCCTCGTTCCCGCGCCAATGGACCATCTTGACCCAGTCAAAGAGCATCGTTTCTTCTGTCCTTGGAAGAACCCTGTGACGCAACGTCTGGGCAGCGCGAAGCCCGGGTCAGACACGGGTTTGGCGGCTTGGAAGTTGCTGACGCAGGTGCTGAAGAATGATGCTTACCTTCGCGGAGCGCTCGAGGACCGGCCGAAGAATAGGTCGACGTGGCATAATAGAGGCGCCTCGGTGCCTTCGACGCCGGTTCGTAGGGGCGCTGCGGCGCCTTCGACACCAGGGGGTTACGACTCACCGAGCGCTGCTACCGAGCCAGCAGGCGACGAGGACGAGCAATCGAGAGAAGCCAAGGACAAGGAACGTTGGGCGCGTCTGAGGAGGGTGAAGAGTTTGTTCGAGTCGAAGAACGCAAAGAAGATCCGTCGGCAGCTTAGTAGGCCGGGCACGGCGCGCTCGACCGTTTCGGGTGTGGGAGGAGACAAGGAAAAGGAGAAGGAATAATGCAGGATAGGCGGTCTGCACTATCTGCTGAGTCGCTCACTTGAAATTTCAAATTGGAACGGAGGAAATGAGGAGTTCTTGACGGATATCACACGGCCATCGAAGGCCTGTTTTTTGCAATTTTTCTTAGCTAAAATACCCATATGATGGAACTTGTCTGAAGCGTTGGTTCATCAATGGGTTCTCCCGCAGTTTTCGAGTGAACTATCTCACCTTGATATCACTGCTGAACATCCCCTTTCCGCCGCGACTGGTACTTCTGTGCATGCCTTACGATGAGTTGCATTGCTCTCTAGAGGGTATCTCTTCTCTTTGAATAACTGATCACACTATCCTACATACATGGTCGTACAAAAAGTCCTCCGTCCCCCGCTCGCTCACGAAGACCAGTCTCCAAACTTCTTCTCCAACTCCTCAAACGACACCACGTCCCCAGACCACGCCGCCGGATCGCTCTCCAAAGCTTTACCCGGCTCCAACCTCTTCTTCTCGCCCTCGTCAACTATTCCTCCCTCCTCCCGTGCCCTTTGAGACTTCTTTTTCACCAATGCCTTGGCCACCACCTTGGCCCTCTCCGGCGCAACAAACTCCCTCACCCCCGCCAACTCAAGAACCCCCATCCTCACCCCCGCCATCCCCGCCGCACCGCTCCTCGTCCCATCATCCACCTTCCAGCTCTTATCGCCGCGCTCCATCCTCGCCGCGGTGATGTACACCCTCTTCACCCAGCCATCCCACCCCGTCCGCGCAAAGCACCGCTCCGCCTCGCGTAACCGCTGCGCGATGCCCCCTTCCTCGCGCGCTTTGCGGGAGAGCGCTTTATCCATTTTCGTAAAGACGAGCATCACGGGGCGGCCGGCGTCGGACAGGAGTTTTACGATTTGGGCGTCCTTTTCCGAGACTTTCTTCTCGGACGACAAGAGGAGGATGATGCCGCGGAGCATGGTGCGCTTGTTGATGTATTCGACGATTTCGTGGCCCCATTCTTCGTGGGAGGCGTAGCCGTAGCCTGGAGTGTCGACGAGGATTATGCCGTGTTCTGGTTTCTCTTCCTTTGTGGCACCGCCACTACCGCCCTCGGCTGAAGAAGGGGAGGCGACTGGTTTCCGAAAGGGCAGGCCTGTCAGCGGTCCGACGCCGTAGGCGTTCATGGAAACCGTCTTGCCCGCGCGGTCGCTTACTTTGGCGAGCGACGCCGCGCCGGTAAGGGCGTTGATGAAGGACGATTTGCCGCAGTTGCTGGCGCCGACGACGCAGATCTCGGGGGTGGTGGTGTTGAGCGGGTGGTGTTTGAGCCGAAAGGCCGAGTACAGGAACGTCGCGGGCGGAGACAAGAAGAAGCGCGCGGCGAGGGCGTGCGGGAGGACGTCGTCGTTGGTGATGGGGTCTGCGACGATGGTGCCGCCGTCGCCTTGGAGTTCGATTTCGGGGGCCGGTGGGGGCGGTCTTCGGGCTAAGCGGAGGTCCTTTTCTGAGATTTGGATTGCTGCTTTGATGGACTCTGGGCTTGCGATCATGGCTGTGTCGCGGTTTCTGCGGGATGGTGGTTCGGGTCTTGGCGGTTTGGGTTGGCGGATGGGTTGCTGGTGTTCTTTTGATCTCTTTGGGGGGGTGAAGTAGAGGGATCTGGATTCCCAGACGTCCTTGTGGTTGCTGATCTTGTCCAGTTCTTCTTGGGATAGTTTTGGCTGGCTAGCAGTCAGTACAGACCTTCCAACTATGAACTCCTCCTTTGGGGCGGGAGAACTGATGTTGTTTCAACTCACTATCAGTACAAAACCGCCGCCTTTCCTCTTGGGTGCCGGGGGTCCGTCGTCCCTGGATGATCTCCTCGGCCGGGGAGGGCTTCTCCTGGGCAGTGACGTTGAATACCTCTCATCCCGACCACGGTCATTAGGGGACGCACCCCCAGAGCTTCTTGAGTTGAAGTCGCCGCCTGGCCGTCTAGCGGGTGCGCCTCCTGACCGCGGAGGCGGCGAAGGCCTGGTGCTAGACCGGCCGCCGCGGTGGTCCTCCTTTTCCCTCAACCGAGCAGTCTTCCCGTTGTCGAATTCTTCCAGTCGTCTTGGGTGTTTCCGTCCATCATACCAGCCGTCAGCATCGGGTTGGGGAAGCCATGCGTTGTAAGTCGGCCTGCTGCTCATCCATCGCTGCAGCGTCAGGAGCGGCCGCTGAGCGAGGGCACGACAGTTACAAACATGTTTGAACATTTTTTACAGGCCAATCATGAAGGCCAGGTTAGTGTTTTGAAAATTTGACATTCATTGCCACTGGTGTTGAATTACGATTGCAGATGTGCAAGCTCTCAGGAGGTGATGGAGCGTATGTGAAGGTCCAAATTTGCCTGGGATAATGCAACAAACGGATATAGAGGTTTCATTACATGCATAGTTAGTACCAAACCCCCATAACCACCACGGCAAGTAATGAGCTGTCGCAATTAACATCACCTCACTTCACAGTCACAGTGATTTTATGGCAGTAATAGCCTCTATTTTGGTTCTACCTTCCCTATGCATGGGTCATCAAAGCTTCGTCATGCATGCCTATTCCTTTGAAGGTTCGATGTAATTGAGCAAAAAAAAAAAAAATCAATCCGTCCAACGCCTTGTTCATCCAGAAACCATTGGCGAGTTGATCAACCACCGGCCTGGTAGCGGTAGTAGAAAGTCTTCTGGTTGTTCAGCTTCTCGCCGACCTTGTAGTCGTAGCGCTTCTGGTGACGGGTGGCGTTGCTCCGGCCTCTGATCTCTTCCTCTCTGACAACGCGCTTCTGCTTGTCAGTCGCACCAGCCATACCTGCAGCGTCTCTACGAGCGACGGCACGGTTGCGAGTCTTGCGGTCGCCGTTGGTGGCGACCTCTCTACCATCAACATCCATCTCATCGCCAGAACCAGCCTCGATGGCCAGACGCTCGGCGCGCTCCTCCTCGGTGGGGTAGTTGTGCAGGTTCTGTCTGAAGTATCGGTTGTGAGAGCGGTGACCAACCGCCTTGCCGGAGGGCAAGTGCAGCTCGTACTCGTCATAGAAGACAGCACGAGTGTGTTTGTGAGCGTGGGAGTGCCAGCCATCGGCCTGGTGGCGGGCACGCGGATCGTTGGTAGAGTGGTGAGGGTGCTTGTCGAGGCGCTCGAACTGTTCATACTTGCCGTCCGCAGTGAAGGCCGTCAACTCATCCGAGTCCAGTGAAGAGGCCGAGCTGTCCGTCTCCCAGCCATCATCTCCACCCTCCTCAACCTCCTCGCCGTCCTCTCCAACCAACTTGGTCGGGCGCTTCAGACCCAACTTGGCTCCACCATTCTCATCGGCCTCCTCCTCCTCCTCCTCGTCTGACTCCTCGCCATCAGAGTAGGTGCTTCGGAAGTCGTAGAAGTCACCAATGTCCAGCTGAACCTCCTCCGTATCGTAGGGAATCTTGCAGTGACCCTTGTCACGCATGTGAGTCTGCACAGCAAATGCCGTCTTCTTGGTCTTGAAGCAGTACAGGCACTGGTGACCATCGTGAACGCGCTCCTGAAGATGCTGAAGCAAGCCATCCAGGTCAACAAGGTACTGCTTCTCGGGGATGAACATGTCGTGGAATCGCTCCATGTGGTTGGCGTTGAGCGAAACGCTAGGCGACTCGTAGTTGCAGAAGAGGCAGGACTTGATGGTCCAGGCGATCTCTGGCTTGGAGGACTGCACGGGGGTTGCAGATTCGGAATCGCGGTTCATGGAAACATCGTCACGCTGGCCCTGAGCAGAGAGATGAGGGTTGGAGGGGCGCTTGACGGGCGAGGGGCGCTCGTCGTGGGACTCGTGGATGTTGGCCTTCTTGAGACCCTCGACGACCTGAGTGAATTCCTCCTCGGCCTCGGAATCCAACTCGCTTTCCTTGTCGACGGCGATGGGCTCACCGAGGGAGAAGGTGGAGCTCATGACGGAGCTGACATCATCGGCGACACCACCCTTGCGTCTAGCAATAGCAGCGACACGGACCTTGTGCTTCTGGCTCGTCAAGTGGTTCTGGTAGGCGTTCTCGCTCGAGTACGACTTCTGGCAGGCGTCGCAGGAGCGCTCGAAGAGGGCCTTCTCTGCCTCGGCGGTCTGGACAGCGCGAGCCTGGAGGACCTTTTCGTTGAAGACCTCGGAGGCGATGGGAGGGAGGGAGGCGACTCTTCGCTTGAGGTTGTATCGGCTGAGTAGATGATGTCAGTTGGTCTGAGCGGGAACACAGCGGAAACAGGACGAAAAGTCGAGCCCAGAAAACAGAGGGAACGACTCTAAGAAGGAGTAAAATGAGAGTAACATACTGCCAGTCGCTCTTCATGTGGCCTCGTTGAAGATCGATGTTTCGGTAGGCAACAGAGCAGGTGTTGCAGGTGTAGGGGTGGGAAGCCGCCGTTGCCCCTCCATTTGCAGGAACAACGCCGAGGGCGGCAACATCGACGCTCGCCATGGTGAGTGTCGTGTGCGAAAGTAGTGATTTTTGCTTGGTTTTTGTCTCAGAGGTTGGTTGAGTAGGCGTTTGATTGTTTGGAATAGGGAGTTTCGTTGCGCGCAAGATGAATTTGCAGGATGCGCAAAAGAAAGGGAAGTGAAGGAGGCAAAAGATGGGAGTCCCTCTGTGTGCAGTGCGTCAAAGTCTGGCGGGATGGAGGGGAAAATGAATTTAAAAGGGAAAATTCGCAAGGGCTTTAGTGGGTTAGGCGGGGGTTTGGAGGGACGTGATAGGCACGTCACTTGCAGTCTAGGGCCCTTGGGCTGGGCTGTGCCTCAGAACCTGTACCACTGGGACGCCTCGAGATTTCCCTTACCTTAGCACGTTCCTGGCAGTTGCTGCCCTGTCAAGTGGGGGCCTGTACACTAATTCTCTCCTTCCCGAAGCACCTGGCATGCAAAGAAGCTGGACTGACAAGCCTCACTCTTTCTTTCTAGCTTCTGTCTTGTTCTTTCTTGCCGGCTGACATATTATAGAAGATGACAGGAGACAGGTAGCATGAATCGGAAGGGGGTAAACTGTCACCTCAATCACCAGCAAGTCTACTTGTCACCGTTTTGGGGATAAGGTCGCCGTCCCACGTCTTTTTGAGTTAAACCTACTTGATGGAAGCAGGTACCTACCTACCTTAATAGAACGTATCTATCTTTCTCTACATCATCGCAGAGATCTATAGGTGCTTGGGCTTGCGCCTCACCGCAAGCCTCGATTTGGGCATCTTGATGAATAACAGCAAACTTGAAGCCCAATAAGTAAGGATGCTGG